TTCGTGCCAGCACTCGTTGGCATTGTTTGAATGTAGGGTTCTTGACAGGCTTGCTCTGAAACGGGTATTTCATCCACGACGGGGAGGAGCAATGGGGGAACACTCGATTCAAAGGGCGTCTCAATCTCTTCGCCGAGACCAAATGTTCCCACGGAGCCGACCGAGCCGCCTCGTCGGTGTTTATTGGGTTTGATCGTCACGTCCGAGTCTGCGTCGGTTTCGGACATGAAGCTGAGGCGGTTGAGGCGGGGTGTCATCATCATGTCCGTGTCAACATTGAAGCTTTCCGAGGTGGTAGAGTGCGCATCTTCTGAGGGCATGTGCGAGGCGTCCTTGTCCGAGTGAGCGAGGTATGCGTCCAGGGTCGACTCACTTTCCAAGCTCTCGTAGTCGGGTGTGGATGAGGACGAGGAGGCGTGATTCGGTCTGTCGACAATGTCATTGTCTAGAGGTGCAAGTATCTCGCGCTCCAGTATGGGAACCGACATGTTGTTGTGGTTGGGTCGCGGAGTAAGGTCATTGTCTGCCGCGACGACAACATCATTTGAGAGGGACGGCGATCTCGGCTGAAAGTCATTCTTGTCCGGACGTGCAGGTATCTCGCGCTCGAGGATGGGAACAGACATGTTGGCGTGGTTGGGTCGGGGAGTGAGATCATTGTCTAGAGGTGAAGATTTCCCTCGTTCGAGAATGGCCCAGCGTTCGAGAATGGGGCCGTGTGTGTCGTTGGACCGGGGAGTAAGGTCATTGTCTGCCGGAACGATACATTCATTCGCGAGGGGCGGCGACCTCGGCTCAAGGTCATTCTTGTCTAGAGGTATCTCGCGCTCGAGGATGGGAATAGACATGTTGGCGTGACTGGGTCGGGGCGTCAGATCATTGTCTGCAGCCCCGAGTTCATTCGACATGGGAACACTTGCAGGCGGTTGAACTGTAGACTTTTCGGGGGATCCCAAAGAGGCATTTGAGTTCTCGTCGTCGACGGCCTTCTTTTCTCTGGATTCAACGGCAGTCGACAAGGCACGAGTCAATGCAAAGTCGACAATGAGGGAAGTGAGGAGGGCGTCCGAGGATCTTTTTGCGTCCAATGAGACGAGCGGTTCGTCGTCGACTGAGGGAGCACCAGAGTGATGAATGTGGGTGGGGAAGGCTGTCGAGATTTTGTAGACGGCCATGAGACATTTACGAACCCGTGGAGAGTAGCAAAGGGGACGTTAATGACTTTCAAGTCGAGAGAAACCGTGCAGGTAAATGGGAGGCTCCCTAACGAGTATTGGAATTGCAAGAGTGTGTCGTGTAAAGTCGTTTCAACAAGCCAATACCGGACGCTATGCAAAACAAGGAGGAATATCAACAGTAACAAACAGCAATACAGACATGCAAACTCTAATGGAGAAATAAAAAAATAAAAAAAAAGAGATGATGATGATGATTCCCCGAGCCAAAAAAGTGTGAAAAAATAATGGCAAACAGATGGGCCCCCTCTCTCCTAAATGTCACGCGTTGCCGCCAGTTCCACATTTTGTATCCCACTTTGTATCCAAATATGATGATGGTTGTTAACACGGGTGGTTTAACACAGCAGGTTTTAGATGTATTGGAATGACTAGAATTTCATATCGATGTTGAATATGGGAGATTTGTAATTTATTCCCTTGTGGGTTCGTTGCTATTTCATAGCAATTGCTGTGGTGCTACTACATCATCATACCCTGGTTTAACGCATTCATACCTGGGCTTGACGCATTCTGCTGTGTTTCTGCTGTGTATCCGTTTATCTGTTCCATCATATATTCGATATCTAGTTGTAGAGAGAGTAGAGAGAGAGAGAAGAAGAAACTTTTAGAGGGCACTTAAACGTGTGCATAACCTTGTAACTCGTAAGAGCAACACACGACAACAGCAGTCAAATGTGTGTTCAAATCAACCAATGTATCATGATTGTGAGTAAAATAAAAACAATATAAATAAATAGGTTTAGAATGAGTGAAAACTCTCTCTCTCTCTATTAGAAGAAACAATATCTATTACACACACACACTCTCTCTCTCTCTCCCTTACACTCACACACACACACACACACACACACACACACATACACATACACATACACATACACACATACATACATACATACATACAGATGAAATTCTCTCTCTCACACACACATTCATTCATAGTCTCTCTCTCTCTTGTGGTCTCTGTCTGTGGATATTTCTCTCTCTCTCTCTCTCTCTCTCTAATTAACGTCTCTCTCACTCACTCACTAGTAGCATTATTCTCTCTCTCTCATCAACACACAATCACACACAATATCACATTCACACTCCATCATTCTCTCTCTCTTTTCACTCGATCATTCTCACTTGCAGATTACATTCACTCTTGTCTCTCCCCCTTACTAGTAGCATTACTCTCTCTCTCTCTCTCTCTCTCTCTCTTTTGTTCTCTTGTTCTAACGTGTCACTCTCTCTTTCACACTCGCACACTCCTTGATTACATCATCTCACACTCGTATTATCACGTGATTCATACTCACATTTAGTATCTCTTGTTGTTGTTGCATTCATTGCATTCATTCATTCATCATGTTTGAAAAGGTAAGTATCAATTATTACACACTCATCTTCTCGTTTATTGACAATGTACTAGTCCCTAGCAGACCTCATTCGAGGGTTACGCGCAAACAAAAAGAATGAGCAAAAGTACATTGGATCTTGCTTGGACGAGATTAGGTCTCAGGTCAGAACAAACGACCCTCACACAAAGGCTACAGCCATACAGAAACTCGCCTATCTCCACATGCACGGATACGACATGTCTTGGGCTTCTTTCCACGTTATTGAAGTCATGTCCCTCCAAAAGACGCTCTACAAGCGCATTGGCTATCACGCCGCCGCAGTCTCTTTTCGTCAAGACACGGACGTTCTCATGCTCTGCACCAATTTGATCAAAAAGGTATTGTATTCGAGATTCGATCGCTAAGCAGGGGGAAATGCGATAGTGAGAGGCGTGAGCAACTGGTGACGAAAAGGGAGGGAAAGCGTTGGGACGACTAGCAAGTATGACCATGAACGAGGGGATAACGGGCACTATGGAGTGGAAAACATGTTCTCATCCATCTCTCTCTCTCTCTTTCTCACACACACTCTCTCTCCCTCTGTATCTCCCCTCTTTTCGTCCTCGTCACGATAGGACCTCTCGTCAAATAACTATGTCGACACAGCGATTGCATTGCACGGCCTCGCCTCCATCGTCACCCCAGACCTCGGACGCGACCTCTGCCCAGACCTGATTGCCATGCTCAACCATTCACGCCCCTACATTCGCAAACGCGTCATTCTCGTCTTGTATCGCGTGTTTTTAAAGTATCCTGAAGCATTGAGGATGGCCTTTCCGAGATTAAAGGAAAAGTTGGATGATCCTGATCCAGGTGGGTTCTGAACGCGCGCGCGCCATGTTGGACGTGTTGGCATATTCTTATGAATCTACTGTTTGTCTTTTTGCATCTTGTTTCTCAAATGCCATGTCATACATGTCCTCGATATTGGATATCATGCTCTGGCTATACGTCTTGAACTTGTCATGGATTATCACCCTCGGCTCTTGGAAATTGTCTACCCCTTTGATACTGCCATGCCTCTTTTTTGGGATGACCTCCTCGATAGCCGTGGTGTCGGCGGCAGTCAATGTGATTTGCGAACTGGCGAGAAGAAATCCAAAGAGTTACCTCCCCCTCGCTCCCCAACTCTACGGACTCTTGACAAACTCGACCAACAACTGGATGCTCATTAAAATCATCAAACTGGTAAGTGTGTCTGTCTTTTTTACCCCCGTCATGGCCGCGGCCTCGACCGGTAGAGGGCACGTTGATACGGGCTCAACGACTACATGGTCTGGGGTGAAACGACACAGGGGCATATCAGAGTTTCCGACTTGAAGCCCGTTTGGCGAAAATGAAAATGTCGCTAAAACCTTTCATGTCAGTTTGCAGCACTGGCGCCCCTCGAGCCCCGTCTCATCAAAAAACTCGTCCCGCAAATTTCGAGCGTCATCCAGAGCACCAGCGCAATGTCCCTCCTCTACGAGTGCATTCATACCGTGATTATAGGAGGCATGATTGGTCCCGAGACAGAGAATGGAGAGAATGAGGCACAGGATTCCGCGCTGGCGAGATTGTGCACTGCAAAACTAAAGCTGTTTATCGAGGAGCCTGATCAAAATTGTACCGTTTCTTTCGTGCCTCGCTTGTCGTTTCTGGGTTGTCATGACTGATTGCTTTCGCCCTCCTTTTACAGTAAAGTACCTTGGCCTGTATGCCTTGTCAAAGCTCCTCGCCGTACGTCCGAAAGCCGTCGTGGAACATCGGGATACCATTCTCGAATGCTTAGATGACGCCGATGTGAGCATTCGCATGCGAGCTCTGGATATTGTGACTGGAATGGTACGGCACCGCCAAATGCCACATTGTCACCTGTGACGGACATGTTTTGATTATAAACAACATATTTAGGTCACACCAGGAAATCTGGTCCAAATCGTTCGCAAGCTCATGACCCAGCTCTTACCTCCCACCGCGGACACCTCCCCCTCTGCATCCTACCCACCCCCCTCGGTCACACCCATTCTCGACGCCACAGACCGCGCCCATGTCATAGAGCGCATCATCTCCATTTGCTCTCAAGATACCTATACCAATGTCACCAACTTTGAATGGTACATTACCCTTTTGACAAACTTGGTCCGCGTCCGGGGTGTGGATGTCGGCACGCGCCTGTCTGCGCAACTCATTGATGTGTCGGTGCGCGTACCTGAAGTCCGTGAATTTGCCGTGCAGGCCATGACGGCGTTAATTGAGGATGAGGGGGTGATGCAGTCTGCCAACCAGGACATGAACAATGCGCGCGTGTTGGTGGGTGCTGCGTGGATTGTGGGGGAGTATTGCATATACCTTGTGGATCCGGTTCGTATCATGATGAGGATGCTCGCGCCGGGTGTGACGCGCTTGCCTCCCACCGTGCAAGCCGTGTACCTCCACAACGTATTGAAGATTTATGGACACTGGGCTTGTACGGCTACCGACCCCACCACTACGACGCAATCGATCCTGGAAGCTCTAAGGCCATTTAAAACGAGTTTTGATTCCGAAGTCCAGGAACGGGCTTGTACTCTTTTTGAAATCCTCCACCTCGCTCTATCGGATCCTGCCCTGGTCCCATCTATCCGGGCACTGTTTAGTGGTGAATTGAACCCGGTTGCCCCCAAAGCTCAAAAACGTGTCCCAGTGCCTGCGGGACTGGACCTGGACCAGTGGATTCATGAACCGGAACCGGAGCCTGTTCAAGAAGAAGAAGAGGAAGAGGACAATGACAGAGTGCCAGATGAATGGTTCAAACAAGACGTACAAGAACAGATTGTGGATTCTGATGATGTTGAGCGGGTATAACTCAAGTTCGGCCCTTTTTCTTTTGAGACTCTAGACACTAATCCCTTTTGACTAGCGCCGACAATCCCGAGCGGAGCGTCTCAAGCATGATCCGTTTTACATTCCCTCCAAACCCCTCTACGACGATATTGACATTAACGAGATCCCTATTGTCCGCCTTGAGCTTAATGTTCCACCAGAGCAAATAGCCCCAACAAGACAGGTCCCCAAAAAGAAAAAGAAACGACCGATATCCCCTCCTCCGGTACCGAAAACGTATTCTATCAATCGCGGAGGGGACATGCCAGAGAATAGTGTTGTTTCGAGTGAGGATGATGAGGTGGAGCATGAGGTGGATGAGGTGACCAAGGCGGTTATGAGTGTGGATTTGAGTTTGGGAGAAGAAACTCGTGTGGAATCTGGGACGAGCCAGGTGGATGCCAAGGTGGATGTACCGGCGAAAAAAACTAGGACGAAATCCACCAAGGCGGACAAGGCGGGCAAGACGGGCAAGACGGGCAAGACGGGCAAGACGGGCAAGAAGAAAACCAAGACGGAATCCAAAACGAAAACGGACAAGCGCAAGAAAAAGGTAAACGAACCATTTGATACTTGTACGTATCTTTTTTCGTTTCTAACCACTTGATAGAAACCCGTCTCTATCGCTGACCCGTCGCTTGCACCGAGTACCATCAATAAATCCCTCCTCGCTGTGCGCGGTCTTGAAATGAACACGCCTTACGAACGCGTCGCGTCGCCGGCCCCAACCGAACAAGCTGAACAAGAATGGGTGGATATTGGAGGCGATGAGCAATTTCAAGTGGTATGTTGTTTTCCTCTCTCGTATAACCAATTTTTTCGCATTGTAATTTTTTGGTGTAGGCCTTCAAGTATAAACTCTTGCCTTCTTCCACAACCCTCACACTTTTATTCACAAACAAAACCCCCTCACCCCTCCCTCTCACCGCGACCCTCTCCCACACGGACCAAGACCTATCCATGACCCTTCCCCCCACATCCACCACAACCCGCACCCTCACCATCACGTCCACCCACCACCCAACATGGCTTGATGTCCTTGGTACAAAGTTCTTGGTACCCATCCCCTTGTCACCCGAATCCTTTAATGAGTTGGTAGCTACTACGAAATGGACTTACTCTGCTCGCAAGACGCTACCGATTTCGGGAGCGAATACAAGAGAGGTCGTCTCTGGTGTTGCACGTGTGCTTGGGATGGAGCTTGTTGAAGTTGTTGGTGATGCTGGGACTTTGGTTATGAGAGGCGGACAGGTGGTTGGGTTGGTTAAAGTGCTTTGGGAGACGGGTGGGGTTTTGGTTGAGGTTCGAGGGGTGGGTGAGGTTGAAGGGGTGCTTGAGAGGTTGGTATGATTTGAGAGAGATTTAGGCATTGGGTGTATGGGTGTGTGTGCGAGGGTATACCCGTAGTTTTGGGAACGGGGAGGTTTGATTTGCGAAATGGGCTTTGTTGAAGGTGTTGGTGATGTTGACTGTGGAGGGAGGTTGGGTTGCTTGAGAGGTTGGAATGAGTATATTGAGGAAAGCTGTTTTTTCGTACATCTTAGATTGTGTGTTTTTTTTGTGGGATGAGGATGGATAATGAGATAATCTAAATCACTGGGATTTACTCACTAACACTGTACAGTAGTATTCGCCCCATATTCAATCTATCACGTGAACTCATGACTCCCCAACGACAAAGCACTTGTCACTCCAAAACTCGTTCAAGTATGAGATCAACGAATCCAGCATAATGTCCAATGCATTCACATTTATCGTCAAATCAACCCTATATGGCGGAAGTATCATTGGCCTCGGATACCTCCTCATGAAAGCCACCGTCCCAACACCTGACGAAATGCGCCAGGCAAGCACCCAAAAAAAACAATCACACTCTTGCCGTTATATTGATTATATTTTGTAGAGATTGGAATCGTTGGGACATGCACCTCTTGAAAAAGAACGTATGAATAAAGTTTTGGAGGTTATTAAAGAGAATGCTGCGAGTGATCGGCCGGTTTGGGATGTTCGTTGGTGAGTTTTCATGGAATGTGGAAACTTGTGTGAATGATTCTTGTTTTTTTGATTGGTTTTTGTTTTTTCGGCAGGGAGGGGGACTCTAAAGGGCGGTAAAACTCTACCATATATATGTTTAGGAGGGGTTTGGATGGTGGAGACGAATGTCAAGTTGTTTTTTTTTGGGATGTGGGATTTTGCGGTGTGTATAGGTGGGTGGTGGTGGGTTTGTGGTAGGGAATGCATGGATGGTATCGTTAAGGATGCCAGATGATCCTTTTGTTAAATATATGGAAAAATATTGTTGAGTTGGGGGTCTGATACCCCACTTGTATGGACTATGAGTTGGAATCTTTTTGTTTTTATTCACGTTTGCAACTATGCATTTGTTTAATTAAGTGTCAAAAGGCCACACAAGACTGTTTTTTGTTTGTACTTTTGCAAGGTGAATGAAAACTAACGAGTTGTCATGCCTAGGTAGAGACCTAAACGACTAAAAAAAGACGGTTTGCGAAATATATATTCAATGTTTTGTAAAGGGCAACAAAAGGCCTAGTTCCAAACACACAAAAACCCAAACCCTTCAACTCACATATTCAAAAAACATAAAAGGGTATAAAAGTGTAAACAAATAAAATAAAAATCTCATTTGGATAACGATCGATGAAATTCCGTCAAGGCACTACACAAAATATAAGTATCCCACTTGAATCATGGACCATTACATAACTCACCTCTCTAAATCAAAAAGTAACTGCCGGACTTGATCTTGAGTAATCTCATCTGACGCTCTAAACCGTAAAAACCATATCAATATCATATAACCTCCTCCTTTCATCCTCCCCTAAAAACACTCGGACTCACTTCATTTTATTCAACGTAATCAACCTACCCAAACCAAAAACCTCATTAACAACATCATCCCACACACCAAAAAAAAAAACACAACAAAAACACAATTTACCAATCCCGAATCTTGACTTTGCCAACATAATCCCCAGGCAACGTCGATACTTTATTCAAACTCTGAATCAAATCACTCAATTGCGGATGTATTTGATCCACTGCGACGTAATTCAATTTCAACGAGTCCATTAACGTAATAAACACCTTACATAAAAAAACTTTTAATTTTCATTCAAACTATTTGTTTTTTTATAATGTGACTTACTTGAACGGTCTCGGCAACGTGTTTAGCTCCACTAGAACCTTCCACAGAAGCATGCTCTACTGTCGCTGGTACACCCACCTCCAATAACCGTTTCGTAGCCGCCGGACACGACAACTAAAAAAGAAAATACATTCAGAAATAATCCCTTCCTTTATTGTTTGTTGAGAGACGTGAACACTCTTACCTTGTACCCCTTGATAAAAGCATTAATATCCGGCACAACATCCGAAACAAGATTCAAAGCCGTCTTGTATTGTGCAATCAATTTCAGGCATGCCGGTGTATACCTAAAAAAAACCCACCACTTAACCCTCATTCCAAATACGATTGTGATTTGGGTTTTACGTTACTCTTGGGCTGAGATGGCATCCCGAATGTAGGCTCGTTCCAAGTACTCTGTCGCGACGAGTATACCGTATAAATCAGCCATGTTGTCGTATTTTTCGCGGTCTTTGTTGGTTGTGTAGAGTCGGAGTTCCTATCATGTGAATTAGCGGACTGTAAAGTGTATTGTGGGGGCGTTTGAAAGGGGGGACTTGCTTGGTCGAGGGATCGGTCTGTCGGTGTTGTGGGGTTTGTTGGAGAAAAGGAAGAGTACATGGTTGGGAGTGCGAATGCAGGTGTGATGTGAGAGGTTGATGTTTTGGGTAGAGGAATGAAGGCAAAAGTTCACAATGCTGATCTAGAGAGACGACCTGCCAAAGCATGCAAGGTTGGCGCTACTTTGTTGAGTCACGCGCAGATTACGTAATTGCCAAACATCCTATGATTGTCACCTCTACACTAACTTCCTCTCAAACCTATGTACTCAAAGCAATATGCATCAATTTCGCAACGTGAAAGGCATGTATTTTGTCACAACGTAAAGGTTTTGATAAAGCAGGTACGCAAACAAGAAGCACACACAAAATTTGGAACCGCACAACGCCGATATTCACCATCTACCCCTCCTATACGGCTGTTCCTTTACACATGTCATTTTGCAATTGTCCAAAAGGTGCAATCATTAGCAAACGTCATTTTATGCTATGCTGAAATGGTACCACAGTGGAAATAATAGACAAATGTCAACCACTTTACATGTAGTACATCGTGTGTTGGTCCATCAGGGGCATGACTTTGCGCAATGTAATGGTTGGCTCAGAATTTCCACTGCGCGACGAGGCAGTATCAAAATCGCCCTCCAAGAACATTCTTCCATCTGGATAAAAACAAATTTTAGTAGAGTGGTATAAGAGTCCATTGCAGCAAGTACTCACAGTAAGCAGCCAAATGGGCGCGATAGGCGGGCGCAACCATGTTGATACTCCTCGTGGCGCGTTCCGAGAGGAAACACAAGTTAAAGCACAGTTGCTGCAAGACATTCGAGGACATTTTAATCTCGTCATGAATAACGTGATAAATAGTCGGGCGGGACGTCCCTTGTAACCCCGCATGAGATTGGAGGACAAAATTGTACTCTGTCGGATGCATAATATCGGTATCGACCTAGAAAAAGTAAAACATGCACCTCAATTCACGAGAGTTGTCGCTAATAGGTACCTGCCAAAGGAAAACACCTACAGTAGTACCAGGCAAGCAGTTGCCAGACTTATCCTGGTTGTTATCGTTGGGGAAGAAGCGTATATGGTGGCGTTTCTGAACGATGATAAACGTGACGGGGACCGCACCCAGTTTCAGATTCGCCAAGGCCCGTTTGATTGCCGAGACTTCTTTCTCGCGAACCTCCTTGAACTGACCGGACGACACACCATCTCTAAAAAAAATGAGCCGTTGAGGAAAGGTTCCAATGGCTTTTTTGAAACTTTCAACTGCATCGCCCATGATTTTTTCCATGTCCTGGATGATTTCAAGACGACTTGGCTGAGCCGCCAAGAAAGTACGGTATCTCGTCGCTTGTTTGTCCAAAGATGTTACCACTGCCGCGACTGAGGGCGCACCAGACCCTGGAGCAGCGTGGGTCACATCAGCACCACAAATAAGTGTGGGCTTATCTTCAAAGAGGGGAAGCCTGTCAACAAAATTGGTAGCTCCGCCCATTTTGACGTTAACCTATTAAAAACAAGAGTCAGAAAAGAGAAACTTGCAGATACATTTGCCATGAGAGGCAGCCCTTCCTAAAGCTTTGGCAGATCCTCACCTTGAGCGCTACATTCTCTGCATACTTGTTGTTCAATCGGTCCAGACGAGCTTTGTCATCAGCCATACACTGCGAGAGGACATCCATCTCGGTCAGCGTGATACGCTTAATCTCATCATATAACGTGAGAGCGTTCCCGTCGATTTTCCTGCCTCGCGGGATGATACAAAAGATAATTTGGCAACGAGATTTGAAAACGGCCGTCGCCTCTGTGGCTACTGCGTGCAGGGCCTTCCTAACATTTTGGGATTGTTCCGGATTCTGAATCCGGATCGGACATTCAGCGTTCGATTTGAAGATGATTCCAACAGACTGGAAGGTGCTGATAAGCTGCTTCTTGACTTGGTATGCCTCCGAGTCTTGCATACGGGAAAAGAAGACGAATCCGTAGCTCGCAATAGTGGATGGCTTGGCGAGTGCTTTTCCAAGCCTCCAAGAGCCTTCGGTTCCCTTGGCCCTTTGGTTCCTCCCAAAGACCACGTCCGGTGCAGGGAGGACGCGAGCCTTGATCGTCATGGGGCTCGGGTCCACAGAGATCCCGAACGCTTTCATGTAGGGATTATTATTGTATCTCAACGCAGTAGTCACCGCAGAAGCAATGCGCTTCTCCCTGTCCAAGGGTCGCTGGACGGTGGCACGAATCATCTGAGATGTCTGATCCCCGTTGAGTCTATTCTTGAAACGCACTGAAGGGGCCATTTTGAGGAATTCCATTGGGAAGGCACTCTTTCCATTGCTCTGCAATTATATGAAATGAGAATATTGTATGCATCAAAACAACTGTTTGTTCCCCACCTTGACGACAACTGGAAGTTTAGGATATTTAAGACGAAGATTGTACTGCTTCAAAAAGTACTCTGCAATGGACATCTTTCTGCCGTCCACATCAAAAGTGTACTCATCAGCGCTCTGTCTTGAAATGCTGCCTATTTTGAATCGTTGTTTAAGGTCCCCGCGATGCGTTGTCACCACGACCGCGTCTTTGAATTCACTGGACATGCGTGCCCGGAGACTTAAAATAGGAATCCGGGTCAATTCGGCGACATCCCTGACGTTTAGTACCTCAGCGACGATGTCCAAAAAAGGGACCTCGCCTCTGCGGAACACGGTGGCAGCGACATCTACATTGATCCCAAGATGTCCAGCCATCATGGCCCGAATACTCTGATGGTATCCGCGCCAGATTTCCAATCCTCCAGAGATGTGGGTCCTGTCTTCAGGAGTGTAAAAATTTGACCCTACTGCAACAAAACTCATGCAGGGGATGTGCCGAAGCACACTGCTCAAAGCCGTGACTGCATGCAGAACATGGTCCGTCTCCGGTCCCTTCTTGGTCATGAAAAGCGCCAAGGAGTGAAAGTCTATCTTGGCGGTCTACAAATATAGAAACGATCTTCAGTCCATGTCGGAAGCCACAGCATCAATAAAGCCGACATTGCTCTCACCTGCTTGATACGGATATTCACGGTTTTGGTCCGTGCTGGACCGACACTCACGGGACGGACAGTTGGTGCCGTCTGAGAAGCTCCGCCACGGCCGCCACCACGTCCTCCACGAAAGTCTCCCCTTCCTCCCCTTCCTCCCCTTCCTCCTCCACGGCCACCCCGACCAGCACCGGCACTCAGAGTCTCCTCCATGGGAGGGTAATATTCCTCTTCATCTTCATTCACAACGACCTTTACACTCTGCTGCTCAAGATTAGCCGTGCTGAAGGCATTTTTTTTGCCGTCATAGACGACCAAGGCAGCCTTGTCACCGGCACGGAACTGTTCCTCGGCAGCGCGCCAAGCTCTTTTCGCCAAGCTAGCACTAATTTTGTCAGCCTGTTTCTCAGGCGTCATGACCACATCATACTGGTAGGCAATCGTGTTTGCCACCATCCTGTCAAAGCGTGGGAAAAAATAGGGGCTCCATTAGAGGGTGAGAAAAAATGTAAAATGGTAGTGAACGAACACACCTTAGAGGGAAAATGTTGCAGCGGACCTGTATATAGGGGGGCAATCAACGGTAAACGTTCGTTCCTTTCAGAAAGTCATGTTTGACGTGGACCAGGAATGGCGACCGAGACCAACCTTAATGGGACGCCCGATGGTCCCCCCAGCATCTGGCCGCAGCGGTAATTCCGTGAGCTTAGGAGTAGCCATAGCGTGCAGTCTCGTCTTTTAAAGCGTATAGAAAAGTCAAGAATGCAGAACGAGGGGAGAATCGGGTGCGGGCCCGCTTTATAAACAGCAGTTCCCTTTGACAGGCCCGTGCGCCTCGTCCGCGCGCGCGACGCACTTCGATCATGGACTTGACAGCCGTCATATGTGCGCTCTCATTGTTGCCATGGCAATAGACAACCACCGCACTAGCAGGCTTGGGACCTTTATTGATCACATCAACAAGTATGGCACGAAGAAGCTACTCACCAGAAGACAGACGACAAAGTTACTCGCATAAGCGGGACAATAGTGCTTCTCCTGACCGGGTTAGAAGAAAATCGGAGCGCAGCCGTGAGCGTGGTAGAGACGTCAGTAGGACTGGACGAGATGGATACAATGGGCCTGACCGACGACACAATCGTGATCGGCGAAGAGAATACAGTGAGAGTCTCGATGGTAGTGACCGTGAGCAGGATCGAAAAAGGAACAGAAGCCGGACCCGAAGTCGACAAAGGAGCGTGAGTGCTGATAGTAGTCGAGATCGAAAGAGAAGCAAAAAAGATAAAAAGGAGTCAAAGAAGAAGCGCGAGACGTCTGAAGAACGCCGTGCGAGGAAAGCAGAGAGAAAAGCCGAGAAGAAACAGCTGAAAGAGGATCTAAAAGCTCAAAAAGAGTCACAAATCGCAGCTCAAATGTCGGCGTCGCTCGGCTACTCCAATTCTGAAAATCCTTTCGGGGACAGTAATTTGAGTGCAAAATTCGTTTGGCTAAAGAAACGAGAGAAGGAATCAAAGGAAGGTTTGATGGGAAGCGAGAGAATCCGAAGGGATCTGTCAAGACGAGAGGAAATCGAAACCGAATTGGACAAGCTGAAAAAGCGCCGCACAGAGAGGGAAATAGAGCAACAGCTGAGGGAACAGGAACAGCTAAGACTGCAACGGGAGCAGGACCGCATTGCAATGGGCGATTGGGAGTCGAAGGAAAATGAGTTCCACTTGGAACAAGCAAAGACAAGAGCACAGATTCGGATCAAAGAGGGGCGTGCCAAGCCAATTGACATCTTTGCAATGAACCTCAGCTTGGCAAGTGACTCTCGAGTAGCGGAGGAATTCGATGCGCTTGGATTCGAAATGGGAATTGAAGAACCGTATCTCATTTTCCGTGATCTGACCCTCGAGGAGGTTGAAGAGCTGCACAAGGATATCCAGCTATACCTATCACTGGAAACAGATGAAAACAATGTCCGATTCTGGGAAGCCATGATCGTTGTATGCGATGACGAATTGGCCAAGCACCGTAGCGCCGCTGCGGGATCAGTGCCAAGCGGTGTCACGGACGCAATAGCCGAAGACATTGAAAAGATGTTTGCGAATAAAACTCATGATCAGCTCACACTACTACAAAAACAGATTGAGAAGAAACTGAGCCAGGGAGGACCTGTAGATGTAGAGTATTGGGAGACAGCCATCAAAGCGTTAATTGTATGGAAGGCGAAAGCTAAACTCCGTGATATGCATGGTTTCATGCTACGGAAGCGGCTGGAGCGTCTGCGCGAAAAGAAGCATACTGAAATGGAGACAGGTGTTACCCCACAACCCATTCAATTCCGGAGGGAAGACCCCGACGCTACGGCTGCCTCCATGGCGGCGGAGGCTGAAGAGGAAGTGGAAACGGATGAGGAGATGGAAGAATACGATCCATCAATGAGTCCTGTCCTCGTTGACAGAATCAGCAAGGTGGATGCCGGGTTCGAAGTGGTGGATGAAGAGGTGGATCTTAACCAGTTGGTAAGTAGGACGGTTAGAACGGTTCTTATTCATATGCAAACCATTATCCTTACGGACTACATTTCAGATGGAAGCGCGGAACCTTGTCTTAAAGAGCCAGCTTGGTGTTTTGGGTGGATTGAGTGCTGAGAAGGCACTCGCCCTTGCTGGCGCAGGGCCTTCGATGGAAGACCTGGCTGAGCAGGCATTCATGAGGGAAGCTGCCGAGAATATGGGCTTGGACGAGACGGCATTCAATGAAGAGGCAATTATATCTGCATCCGCAGCGACACAGGTGGGAATTTTACTGTTCGCTGATACATTTCCACCAAACTGAAACTGACATCGTTTTCAGGATCCGTACCTCTGGCATGACAAGTATAGACCGCGCAAGCCTCGATACTTCAATCGCGTCCATACTGGGTATGAATGGAACAAATACAATCAAACACACTATGACAGTGATAACCCACCACCCAAGGTACGTGGGTTTTGCGCCGTACTATAGTCATCGATCATAACCCTTTTCTTGTCCTAGGTCGTGCAAGGCTACAAATTCAACATATTTTATCCTGATCTTATTGACAAAAGCAAGGCGCCAACATATGTACGCGAGAAAGATGAAGGATATCCAGATACAATCATCTTGCGGTTCAAAGCGGGTCCTCCTTACGAAGACATTGCTTTCAGGATTGTCAACAGAGAGTGGGAGTATTCACATAAAAAGGGCTTCAGAAGTTCTTTTGATAGAGGTGTGCTGCAGCTGTGGTTCCACTTTAAACGGCATTACTATAGACGATAGTTGGTGACCTGTAAATAAAATGGATCGGGGGGGCAGTCACGGAGCTAAGCCACCCGTTTGTTGCTTACTTGAAAATGTCCAGACGCGTGCAGATTTGGGTTGGCCAGTCCAACACCAGATCGTCTAGCCAGCCATCCTAGCAAGTCAAATGCTGCATCGACCTGTATACACATCTTGTGGAATAACAAAGGAAGGCCTCAGCCCGGATTTTTGTGGGGCACACGAGGAGAATCAGGATATTGCGGCTTTGGCGAGAGAGTACGAGAAAGCCCTACGCACAAACCCCGCATACTGGGCATTTAAAAAGCTTGTTAGGGTAGGGAAACCCAGAGTTCCGCAAACCTCCTTTCAAAGACAAGCTTGTAACTCTTAGCAACAGAATGAGACTCTGAAATCACCCAACGCGACCGACGTGGTCACTCTTGCCAGGCAAATCTTTAATCAAACAGGCGGTGCCAGGCAGTTGATTGAAAATCATGTGGCCCTAGTGTCTGCAAGAAAGAAAAGAAGGGGGCAAGCAGCAAGAGAAATACAACAATGTAAAGCCTCTGACCCTAATGCGCTTAACTGTGCCGAGCGAAGGTATCCAAGGTATCGGTCGGTGGGGCCAAAGGAGCAATTGGCTGTAGAAAGTGCGCGTAAGACATTGGAAAGTTTGATCACCAAACGACTGAATCGTATTTCGGCGGATATGGCGGTTCCTCTGAGTCGAAGGGTGAGTACACGCCTTAATGGGCACTCTACATCATTGGGGCCTTTCTCCTGAACTGCGATTACTAGCGAACTCCACATGAAGAAACCATATTCCTTGACCGATCCTTCTCATCAAACCAGGAGGATTCGTCCAACAACCCCCCGCTAGTCTTACAGGGAATTGGTCTCCCATCAAAGGGTGTCCGCGATCCCGAGCGACTGTATCTTTACGATGATCAAGATGTGCTGGAAGCCATGATGAATGTGCAGATGAATATAAGCCATGAGTAATTCAGAAATCAAGTATTCTGGAATGCGCCTTGGCAAGAGTATTTATACGCAGCCTACAGACAATCGTCAGAGCTTGGAACCTTTTGGAGCAGCATCCCTGCCCTTTTCACACGCGGCCCGTCAACGATACAAGAAATGGCAAGAAAGTTTTCGCTTCTTAGCCCTCGGTACCAACATGTGGGTGTGGATGATTGGGTAGACGATAACCCAGGTAAAGCTCCAGGTTTTCAACACCCATATCCGTTGTCATTTGTAACCTCACCTAAATGAATTGGGACTAAGAGACGTTCCTGGCTGCCCGGATTGAGACTGGTGAAAAGGTCCTGGCATCCAAATCGCTCCAGCAGGCTCGGGACTATGCCAAGAATGGAATGCCACCTTGCCTGCGTGCACAACTGTGGGACCTAATGTTACAATCCGAGCTGACCGATGATCTAGCTGCATATGTAAGAAGGCGCCTCTTGGTTTTCGTAAAACTCCTTATACTTTAAAACCTTGTATGTCAACAGACACGTCGTCACTGCCAATCTCTCAAGGTTGATATTGCACGATACGACCTGCTAATTGACCGTTTGATAAGGATTGACGCACGACAGTGTCGGAATGATGACTGCTACTTTGTCTTTGAGGATATCATCGCGGAGGTGATGTCGTACTGGGTCAGGGATGAATGGGTTGCGCAACACGTCGCTGCAGAACAGAAGCAATCGCATGTCATGACATGTACTGGCAAAATCTACCCGCCCAACGGCGTAATGCCCTTCTGGGGAATATCTTGCTATGCTTTACCCCTATGCTTTTTGCATGGAGAAGCGGAAAATGCTTATATGATCTTTCGCGAGCTGTATACTCGGTAAGGCTAGCCAGTAAAAGCAGTTTCATAGGAGTCAGCCAGCTAAATTAGCTCTCTAGCTTCTTCTTTAACTTACACACAGTTCGCTTGTCGTCTACACCGACACTTCCTACTCTTTGCAAAACATTCGAATATCTTCTGAAAGAGCATGATCCCTACATATTTTTCCACCTTACTCATCATCTTGGCATTCTTCCAATCACATATGCGTGCCGCTGGATCATGTTTGCCTTTGTCGGCATTCTCGACATTGAGCAAGTTTTGCAGTTGTGGGATCGAATGTTGGGCTATGAGGAAGAAGGTATGGAATTGTTGAGTGTCGCGGCAGCAGCAATATTTGGCTTTAGAAGTGATATGCTATGCCGAGCACGGAATTTGCGAGATGTAGAGGTACGATGTAGCTCGCGTTGATATCTCGAATAGGCGACGCAATCACTAACCAATCGTCACCAGCATGCTTTCTCTGATCTCGGGGCAGTTAAAATAATTCCCCTTCTGCAAAGCTACCTGTTCAGTCGATAACAAGAAATTATGATATTAAACGATGGAATACATATGAAATAAACATAAACAGCACCAAAGCCCTCCATGAGTGTTGCCACATTGAAAGTAGCAATTAATGAAGCGAAAGCCCATTTCAGTAACCATGCTCCGCAGCTCCGCAGTCGGACCAACCTAGTCTATAGTCACAAAATCTCCAATCTCAGGAAATGATACAGCCTTTGTCTCTTGACCTTCGCTTGTAGCTCTCAACGAACTTTAGTTGGCGGGCGTTGATGGCACCCCGGCGCCGCTCTCGCACGTAGATAACCGCATCCAAAGGTGATAATCCAGCCTCAATAAGGGCCATGGTAACTAGAACCGGGGCCCTGACACACGGTTAACAAAAGGCGACGCCAGGCAAATACGACCGGTATCAAAATAGGCGTACCTCCCCAGCCCTGCTACACAGTGCACGCCAATTGCTGGTCTCTCCGATTGATTCACCTCAGCTGCAGAACCTTCCTTCTTGTCTTTGTTGCCGAATCTTGAGTTTACCAGATTGAGAAAATCGGTCACGATGCTGGTCGGAGGCGGGTCACCTGATAGCACAAAGATGAGCTAAAGGACAAGGACATCTGAAGTCGATGGATTCTTGGATCACTTACCATCCGGGAAAGGCCAATCCTACGGCACGAAGGAGGTCAGGGGGCGAGTGAGTTACTCGTCCATACTTGAAGTTCTTGCATACGCGCGACTTACATGTACAGTAATACCATGCTCCTGTAGAACTTTCTTGTCGTAAGTAGGATCACATACGCGGACCACATCGGTAACAGACTGCTTTTGCAATTCCTGCGTCATAAGTTTACGACCATTAGAGGTGAGAATCAAATTAACAAATATGCATCAGTAGTTACATTCAGGTACAGATCCAAAGTACGATCTGATGGAGCATCAAAAATAAGAAATCGCAGGTTTTTGTATTCGATCAATGTCGGAGGGTTGGGTAACCGCTGCAGAACCCCATCTTTCTGCGTAGAGCCTTGCCTCTGCGCCCTAATGCCTCCTACTTGCATGCCCTTAGCCGACATACGGAACCGTGACAGTGAACAGAATTCCAATCCAGTTAACGTCGGCCACCCTCAGTCCGTATCGCAGCTACGGAGAGCGGTCCGTTCAAAAGGCGACGCAAATATCCCATCCAGTCAGCAACAAGATGTGCAGGTTTCCCCTTGTTGCCTGGTACAATGTCTGCCACTGTGGGAAGACCCGACGATTGTTTATTGTCACTGTGCAAAAATGGTGTAAAACTCCCGAGTGTATATCTATCTCGACGTCAGCCGGGATCCAGCATCAAGAGCGTCGAGGGTACCGCCAATTGAAAATGGCCAGCCAGTCTCGGTAGTCAAAAGGAGGGGCGTAACGAAGGGCGTGTGGGATTATTACTTCCTGTCAAGAGCCGAATCGTAAAGATGGGATCAATCAGAGGCCGGATACAAGGCCGAGTGTGAAAAATAAAAGGGGTGGACAAAGGGCTAAGCCCACCGTATCCTAGCCCAATGACCTAATCCAAATATCCCCAAATACATTCTAATAACCCTTGTAGATCTTTCCCCATCCGTGATCCTGTCCGACGAGCAGAGCCTTAATGTCTAGGTTACCTGCGACATGGGAAGCTCGGAGTACTGCTTCAGGAGTTGGCGGATGGAATGATGTTGCGTCCGCTGCGGAAGCTCCGACCCAAGCTCAGGCTTTTCACACACCTTCACAGCTGCCAATTATCCCAAAGAGGAAGAAGAAGAAGAACTTCGATCCAAGTTGGCTCAAAGCTCCGCCCCACTTGATGCCAGGATATGAGGAAAAATTGGAATGCCGTGGTTGTGCTAGGATGCTTTCCAAAGGAAGCTTCTCAAAAGTGCAGCTGAGAGAAGATGATCGCCGCCGATGCAGGTACTGCGAAATTTATCAACCACAGTCGCCACATTTGTAATCGCCACTTCCAGGGAATGCATCGATGAATACGAAGGCTCGTGGGCCGATGTTCAGCGTCCCTCCAAAACGGCAGAGATCTCCAACGGCCCGACGCCTGTCAAAGCCGCAACGAAGCCGATATATAGTGACATAGCACGTAGCCAGGCGAGCAGGCCCCAGGAAGCGACGGGAAACGGTCGACGTCTTGTCCAAACAGCTCATCTCTCTCACGGCGCGACACCTGTCAAAGCCGCCCCAAAGCCAAGATTTGGTGAGGGACCACGTAGACAGGAAACCAGACCACTGCAGAAGACGACGGCAAATGGTCAACGTTCTCGCGAAACAGTTCATCTTTCCCACGGCGCGACGCCTGTCAAAGCTGCTGTGAAGCCAAAATTTAATGAGGGAACAGGAAGACAGGACACCAGACCCCAGAAAACCACGGAAAGTGTTCAACGTCCTCTCGAAGCAACTCATCTCTCCCACGGCACGACGCCTGTCAAAGCTGCAGAAACTTTCGAGCGACAGCGGAGACCGCAAAATAGACTAGATAAACCCAGTCAGACCGCTGTCGTAAAGGGCTATGAGGGGACGGCCAACCAGCCTGGAATAACCCGGGATCTGGACTTGGATGCTGTATATTATTCCCGGAAGCGACAACTTAGTGAGATTGCTCTTCTTAAAGACATATTCTTAGAAGGGGAGTTTGGATGGATGGCATGTGATGATATATCAAAGGTAACAGTATGAGGACGCCACGGCTATTGTCAATCGACATCATTATTAATTGATGATGGTCCTACGTAGGATATCATGACTGTATATGACGGTGCTCATGATGATCCAACTGTTCTCAGTCTGATACCCAGCGACCATGAGTTTCGTTTCGCAATTCAGCTGACTGGACCTACCGCAAAGTCTTTAGGTACTCTTGGGTTGTACTGCATCTGTCAAGTCACGCTGACTTTTCCCAATTTAGAGCCATGTCAGATTCGCTTTACATTGCCGCCCAATTACCCATATTGCCGTCCAGTCTGCAGGTTTACTTGCAGCACCGATGTAAGCTGACAGACTTTACAGTATTGCATGTCAAGTGTTAACCCAACAACAGTTTCCACATGTCGCCAACACAGTCGCTTCTGCCCTGAAGACATACATGCTATCCCTAAAAAGTAACGTACCTCATAGCTCAATCTGTATCGCCGCTATATTCCTGACCCAACACCCCTATCAGTCGAAGACGGGCGAGTAGCCCCGTGTTTACTTGATATACACCAGTTTGTGTTTTCTCAAGTAGATACCTTTTCCGGAGCATTGCTATGAAGCCAGAAAAACAAAGTGGTATACCCCAGCGGTTGATAGACTGAAACAATTTGACATGTACTGTGAAGCTCCCAACCAGGCACCATTGAAACCTATTGCGAAAGGTGCAGAGTGAACCTGTTGCTGATTGCACATGCTGAAATTATTAGCTCAATTGTGTTATGCGCTGTTACGGTAGATCAGATGGCTTGGATAGCTCTCGTTATATAAATATGTGTGTATGTGTGTAAATGCAATATCGATGCACCTACTGGCTATTTGATTGGGTTGGCACGTCAGTTGCCACTTTTGCCCAGCCCTCCAATTCCGTCTCATCAACCCATTCACCAGTCAACATGCTCTCTTTCGCAGCAAGCACCACGTCAGCTCGCCGCTTCTTCCCCTCTCTCTTGATAGCTTTCTTCTGCGTAGTCTTTTCGCGTTTCGTCATTTTCGGTGCTTCCACCTCATTCGGGTCCGGTTCCACATAACCAGGTTCGCCTACGTTCGGTTTTGTTCGACCTGTGGTTCTTCGCAAACTTTCCTCATCTACTTGTTCTATCCATCCATTTGCATCTAAAGCTTCGCGATCACGGGTACTTTCCCCACCTGGACCATCCCACGATGCTAAAACTACCGGATGGGGAGTTACTCCCGTCGTGGTGGCCACGTCAGGCAACCGATTATTCAGTGACGTCTCTAATCGTTCTAATTTCGCACTACCACGCTTTGTCGCTGTGGGGCGTTGATACCCACGGTCCAAAAACAACATTGTACGATTCCACTTGACAAAATCGATAGCTTGACTGCCTTTGAAAGGGGCGGAATCAAAATGTTTCTTCAAAAGTGCTGTGTCCATCCGTCCCTCGATGCGAAGCTTCCATGCCGAATGGGACGTTACTGGCTTCGCGGGAGTATGGCGGTCCTTTTTAGACGAGGTTCTGCGCGTACGGAAAAGTTTTTCCTGCTTAGGTGTCTCAGAAGACTTTCGTGCGGCAGGGGCTGACCACCAGGAGGCATCCTTTTTGTCGCCTGCTGAGTCTTCAAGGACTTCACCAGCACCCAATACTTCCTGTATGTACTTTAGCGTCTCGGGTTCGTGCCATTTGACTTCAGCATATACGGCCTGCGCCCCAGTGTCTACCCTAAGCCGACCCCTAGCCTCAAAAAAGCCCGTGAACCAGTGGTCACCAAGTCGTGGGGCGGTGTTTGGTCGACAAAATAATTCAGGATGCCCCAGTTCTCTGCACAGGCGCGAAATTTCCGCCTGTCGTTCTGGTATCCAAGATCGCCCTTGCAGCAAGCGTGCCATCCTTAGCAGTCCATGAGGTTCGTAGCATCGCCATACCATGTTTCCATCTGGAAGGCTTCGTACGACGCTGTACCGGACCATCATCTTAATATAATACAGCGCGCTCACTTCGATGGCGGGCAAAACGATCTCCCATACATGCCGGGGCCAGCCCTCTCCACGTTTAAAGTATATCGTACCAGCTGCGTCGTTCAGACCAGCGAGCCAGTCCACGAAACGGGTTGGATCACTTTGGAAAGCATCTGTCAGCCTGGAAAACAAAAGGAGGTGGGGACGTTCGACTGTAAGGGGATCTAACTGCTCAATCGGATCACTGCCTTCCCATGGCAATCTTTTCCGTCTCCTTGGTCTAGTAGGTGGAGTATGCGAACTCCCGTCCTTTGGTTCTGGACTTTCTGCTGCAGGTTTGGTAATCTCTTTTTTTGATGGCAGCCGACGCCTAATTTCCCTGGGTTCAAACCTTACGCCATCATCTGGCAAAGAACCATATCCTTTTTCCCGTTCACCGCGACTTGAAACCGCACCCCACTGCGACTCTCGGGCATTCAAATCATCACCCAAGTGTTTTACTTTCGGCGATCGGCGTGTCCAGGTGCTGTTCTGTTTCGCCCCATTGTAAGTCACCCCCAGCAGATTTTCAGCACGGAATCCACACCTACGCATGTGTTAGAGTCAGGTGGACGGGGCAGACAATGCAGAAGAGCAGCTCAGCTACTAACTTGGTCTCGCTGGTCGAATTTCGGGCGCTGGACGTCAAGATGGAAACTGACAAGAGTCTATAATAGCTACGAAAAAGGCGGTCACAACCCCCCCTCGCAAATTTGCAGACTTGAGGAGGTGCAACTGAGGACATGGTGGGCAACTGGTGGTTGTTTTGGCCAACCTCCTGTCAACACATTTACTCAGATGCAGCCAAACCTCGACAGTGGTTGCTATACCAACAGGCCAAATATGAGTCACCCAACAGGACGATCAATTGTCGCGAATTCTGCCTAGATCTCTACCACATCACAGTTCAACATGCCCTACCCAAGACTGATACGAAACGGGTTGACACCCGCCGAGGTGGAATTCATTGCAGAAAACGAAACTATTACAATTGTACCACTCCACAGAATGGGCACCCTGCAACTCATTAATGTTAGAATTCACCATTCTTGTATCCCCGATGCGATAATTATGATTTACACATGTCCTGTACGTTTTCTAGGGATCATACGGTCCATTCAAGCCACCAATAAAACACCAAGTCCCACTATGGCTGGCTTTAACACTAAAACGAAAGCAAAAGTGCCTGATACAACCGCCGGAGTGGTTGGACGTGGGTGAGGAATGGGAGACGAAAGTTGTCGGCCGTGCTTCACTTGTGTCTGAACCTTGCCCGAGTAGCCTATTTGCGCACAAAATTAGAGCAAGAGACGAGCGGAGAGAATTTCAGCGACTTGCCCTTTCGTTTTATGGAAGTCTCCCACGCGTTACTTGATTGGTGGGTAATTAGCTGGCGGTTCGCCTGGCATAGATATCTTCTTATTCTTCGTATTCAGCGCGGCAGATGATGTACCACAAGCAGACATGGTGCGAACGCTTCTGAAGGATCTGCGAGAAGTAAGGCAAGCCAAAGCACGCCGGGGTCTACAGGCAATAAATCCACGCTGCGTCGAGGTTCGTCCGCCAAGCGATCGCACCCACTGTCGCTCAGTTTCTAACTGACACACTCAATGGCAGATGAACAATCTCGGGATGATGGAGCTGAATGAGATCCGCCCTTTTTTTACGAAAGCGTTCAATGAATTGAAAAAATTGCGAAAACGTCCACCTGGCGATTCACAGCCAAGTCAGCATACAAATTCCGATCAACTTGGGCAGTCCCAACGAACAGGAAATGGGTTGTCTTTTTCACCATCCATGTAAATAAACGTCCACAGGAAATGACAATAGTATCCTACGGCGCTGATCAGTCCCCCTCGACGGCAAATAACCAGGATCCCACCCACTTAAATCAGGGAAAGATCTGCTCTAAATACAAACTTCTATGGTCGTGAGGTTTCATATACCCTCCTCCGGCCACAGCCATCCATATGTTTGCCAGCCATCCAAATCCCCAGTCTGAAGTGCCCGGTATGCATCATAAAGCTGCCTAAAGCCCTCAAACTTGCTGGATTGGTCTGCCACCTTTGCGATATCTAGCTCTACATCTTCTTCTTCATCATCATCATCATCCCATACGCTGCTCGAGTTCGTCTTCGTCTTAGCGGACGCAGATGTCTTGGGTTTACCAACCTCGCGATGGATCTCACTCACTGGAGTGATGATAACGGCCGTACCGCACGCTGCTACTTCTTCAAAACCTCCCGAGCGCACCTCCTCCCATGGTACTCGTCTCCTTTCTACTCCCCAGCCAAAGCGCAAGGCTGCCAATTCGCACAAGCTACGGTTTGTGATCGATGCCAGGGCGCTGGTACTCTTGGGAGTGACGTAAATCCGCTTACCGTTGGCATCCGGAGCGGTCAGAGCAGCAAAATTAGAGGTAGCAAATTCGTCGACATACTTGTTTTCTTTGGAGTCCAAAAACAAGAGGACGGTGTAGCCCTTCTCTTTGGCTGCTAGAGTAGGGCCCAGCGACGGTGCATAGTTACCGCCCATCTTAACTTGTCCCGTCCCGTACGTCGCAGCACGGTCAAGTTTGTGCTTTATAAGCGCCTTCGTCGGAGCACCCATTCCCCCAACATAGTACTCGCCAACAGGAATAACCAGCACTATGAAGATGTATTCCTTTGCAGGAGACAATCCAACCTGAGCCCCTGAGCCAAAGACAAACGGACGAATGTACATGGCTCCATTCGAACCGTATGGAGGAACGTAATCAATGTTCGCCTCTATTGCTCGACGGACAGCCGACAGAAAAAGTTCCTCCGGAGGAGCTGCCATGCATAAACTACGGCATGACTTTATCATCCGTCGCGCATTGAGTTCTGGACGGAAGACACGGACCTAGATAGACCGACAGCGGTTAGTTTTATTATGAATTTTAAGTGAACAAGCCTGCTGGACTGTCTACCTTCCCGTCTTTCATACGAAACGCCTTGAGACCCTCGAAACAGGACTGACCATAGTGCAGTACCGTTGCTTAAGGTAAAGTTGAGAATGTCAGGAAAAGCCCTTGTGCAGCCGACGGGCAGGCGGCCTTAACACCTACCCGCAACATCCAGCGTGACTTTAAAATCCTTGAGGAGTTCCCCTTCGTTCCATTTGCCGTCCTTCCATACATATTTGACACAGCCATTCGTCTTCACATAAGAAAATCCCAGGTTTGCCCAGTCAATGGTTGCGGGGTCAATGCGATCGGGAGCGTAGGAAGCCATGACGAAAGGGTGTGGGCAAACTAACGCGAGGAAGACAGGCGTGAGTTATCCATGATGGTTGATATGGCAACAGTCGATCTAATTAATAATGTAATAACGACCCAATAAGGACACATTACTTGCACATGACAAGGAATATACGGAATGTCGCTAACTAGTCGCTAACTGGCCTCTGTACCAAGCTATGATTAGCACTACACTAGACGTCACAATTGCCTATTCTACATTCCCCCAAATTACACGGTAACCACGTTTTCCAGATGTCCCTTCACAGCTCCTCCAATGTTGACCAGGTCGATCAAAAATGTATCATGTCCATACATGGCATCAAGTTCGTAGTAGGTTACATTGCGGTTACCGGCTTCTTTTAAACAATCTGCAATTTCCTTCTGCTGCCAATATGGAAATAGGATGTCCGATTGCACGCCCAGAACCAATGTCGGCATCGTAATAGGTGACAGACCTTTAACCAATGCAGCGCGATCTGAGGGCGACGCCGTTGTTGACGACAATGGCTGATGGGGGGATGGGTGAGAGATGGGGCAGTCAACCGGTTTGTGTTGCGTTTGCTGGTGACACTCCGGACTGTGCACGTTAGGGTCAGGTGGCAGCGGATAACTCATGTCGAACATGTCCATTGCTTTTGAAATATACAAGAGGGAATTTGGGTCATACTGGAGGCAAAACCGCTCTCCCTAAGCAACCGCATGCCACAAGTCTGATTAGTATCTAGCACAGGGACATTGCATAAGCGCGACCTCCCACCTGATGGTCCAAGTATGTCTCAATGAGAAAATCTGGACACAACGCGGGTGTTTGGTCAGGATTCGCTCGTTTCCTTCCAAATCGCTGCTCCCATTCCGGGCCAGACCGATAACTGGACGGTACACGAAATAATGTATTGATATCGGCTTTAGCAAGCTTTCAGGACATGCTCCTCCTACCTGATGGTTGCAATTTGGCGTGCCAACTGAAATTTCGAAACGTTAGTCTCCGATGCTATCTTTCTTAGTCAAGATAAGACAAATGCTTACCTTCATACCAACATGAGGCGGTACTCCTTGATAGTAAAATCCCTCTCTCCAGTTAGGGTCAGCCATCAATACTTTCCGAGTCGACAAATTATTAGCACAGATAGATCGACAACGGCGCACTAATCAGAGAAGCTTACCTTGCCGTTGGGTGTGACGCAGCGCAATGGAGTAGGGATGTGATCGAGCTGCTCCTGAAATGGATACTACTCGCCCAACGCGTTCCGGGAACAAGGCGGCAGCCGCTAGAGATTGCATTCCTCCCATTGAACTCCCAACGCTAGCATGCAGCTTCTGAATACCAAGACTGTCAAGAAGCTTAAATTGTGCCCGAATCATATCAAAGATGGTGATAATCGGGAATCGGGTCGCGTATCGCTCGCCATTGGATGGGTCAATACTGGATGGCCCAGTTGACCCATAACATCCTCCGAGGGCGTTCGTACATATTACAAAGAATTTGTTGGTGTCAATGGGATATCCAGGACCTATAAACTTCTCCCACCACCCATCCTTCGTATTCTTCTCATGACTTTTAGCGTGACTGCTAGCACTTAATCCTGTGTGCAGCAAAATAGCATTGTCTTTGGCGGCATTCAGTGTTCCCCACGTCTCATAAGCAATGTCAAACTCGGGTAGCACGCCGCCGTGTACAAACTTGAAGGGTTCACTGTGATGGTATGTTGAATAGCCAGAAACAATCTTGTCATATGCTGGTTCTGGTCCACCGTCAAGCGAGCGTTCCCGCTCAGCATTGCGTTCAAGGCATGGGAAAGAAAGTGCAGGATTGGACGAGCGAGATGTTGATGCAGATGTAATATGGCGTGCAAAGTATGACGGTTCTTGTCGTCCTGTTGCGGTAAGAAGGATGGTGGGTCTCGTAAGAATTGTTCGCTCCCCCAAGATGAGGGCGTTCTTTGATGGAATACCGCTAATAGCGCTGCGTATTCGCCAGGCTGGAACTGTAGGTTTGAACATTGGTGATAGCTTGACGGACAATAATCGCCTATGCAGAAGCAAGACTGCAAACAAAGGAGGGAAGGAGGGAGGACAGTGGGCTTAAAGGCGGTGGAAAGCTTTCAAATCCAAGATCACTTTCAATCACGTGCTCACGATCGCGTCTTGTCCGTCCAATCTTTTTGTTGCAACGCTTTGGTGGTCGGGTTTGTAAACATGGTGCGTAACTGCGAACGTCCAAAAGTACATCGCCCTTGATGAGGAATAATATATGTATTACTTGTCTTGTCGTAGCATATCATCAGAAAAGTGACTCTTCTGCCGCTTAGCGTGGGCTTGAAGCAGGCCAGATAAATACAAGTTTCATGCATTGTTCTCTCCAATAGGGTCACGTGATACGATGTTTACGTGAACAAAGTGTCATGTTCCACTCCACCAGGCGACGATACTCTACGCGACGAAAAGCCACGCATCGGGATTGCCTCTCCAAGTTTTGGAGCCTCGTATTGAGGTTTCTTTGAATCGGGATCGGGCGCCTGTAACTTTCCTCCGTATTTGCTACCTATCGGGTTTTCCAACCGTTCCGAGAGCATTCGCGGCTAATAATGGCCAGCCAAATAGTTCCGTCTCTCCTAACGAAGGAGGAGCTGGCATCCGACCCGACAGAACTGTTTACCGTGCTCGGAAAATTGGGCGAAGGGTGAGCTTCAAAACCTTAAAAAGGAAAGCGGTGGGAGTATCTGTAGATTGAAGCAGGTCCCCTGTTGGCGTGAGAGCCAAGGGACGAAATGGCGCCGACTGGGGCTACTAAAACCACAAGTGGTTGCAAGAGATAGTTTATTGAAGATCATCAAGCAGAGAAAGCGTGTACGCAGAACTTAATCCTCTCTATGCTGTAGGTCGTATGGCTCTGTCCACAAAGCGCTTCACAAACGTACTTCAACCGTCTGTGCCATAAAGTTAATCCCAGCGGAAAATGACCTAGATGACACTGTCAAAGAAATTAACATCATGAATGGCTGCGATTCGAGCTATGTTGTGCAATTTTACGGCAGCTACATCAAAGAAGGTTACCTTTGGGTATGAGTGAGTGGGAGAAGCATCGTAGTGGCGATTGGAGTGACACTGCATTGATCGAAGGAGCTAATCGCCGCTCCTTGTTTAGATAGTGATGGAGTATTGTGGTGCAGGGTCTGTCTCAGATATAATGCGAATATGTGGACGAACGATGACCGAAGGCCAAATTGCGGTCATTTGCCGAAACGTACTGGAAGGCTTAAAGTATCTGCACGAAAGGAGGAAGATTCACCGAGATATCAAAGCTGGGTGTGTATTCATGATCTCTCTTAGCTGGTTGGCTCTATGTAGACACTCATCCGGTAATAATCATATTACAGGAATATTTTACTAAATACGCAAGGCGAAGCAAAACTGGCGGATTTTGGCGTTGCGGGACAACTGAGCGATAATCAAGCAAAGCGAAACACAGTGATTGGAACTCCCTTCTGGATGGTGAGATATACACATAATGCAGAGAAGACTTGCAAATGATTCTGACATAGTCGTGCACCCGGTGTAGGCGCCGGAAGTCATTCAGGAAGTGGGTTATGGTGTATTGGCGGATATATGGTCACTGGGGATCACATGCATAGAGATGGCAGAGGGAAGACCACCGTACCATAAAATTCACCCGATGCGCGTAAGACTTTGAACTGGTTGGTCAGACTCCGATTTCCACTTGTCCTCAAAGTTCTTCTTTCTAGGCAATCTTCATGATACCAACGAAGCCGCCACCAAGATTGCAAAATGAGGACAAATGGTCGAAGCAGTTTATAGACTTCATCGCCCAATGTCTGACCAAAAACCCAAGTGCGCGACCTAGCGCCGAGCAACTCTTGCAGGTAACAACCATGTTGTTGCAGTTTTTGGATATAGTTTTCTAACACATATTCTAGCACCCGTTTATCACGGAGGCTCCTGGAATAGCGGTTATGAGCGAAACTGTGTCAGAGGTGATGGATTTGATTGCAAAGGGGGCTTTGGATGATGTAGGTGTCGTGCGGAACCCGCGCCATTTGTAATTTGACGCTTGACTTGGACTTATTCAAGGACGAAAGCGATGCCGAGCAGTCTGATGAGGACGCGGTAAGTTGAATGTGTTTGTTTTCCTTCGCATTGGTGAGTTGTATTCATGTCCCCCCGAAGATCCCGGTAGACACGGTCCGTCTTGATCATGCTACCATCAAACAAGCCCGGCCGGGGTCACCACGACGTGCTTTTGACGAATTGCCTACCGTCGGACCCCAAGCAGCAGCGAGAAGGGCAGAAGAGGCAAGACGTCACAGTGGTGGAGAAACAAGTGAAGAAGACGAAGACTCGCTTGCGTATGGTACTGTAAAACTGAACGGAAAGGCTGGCAAGCAACCCACGGATGCTGGGCGCAAGGTACTGGATGACTTCTTTGACAGCTATGCTTCTGGGACCATGTTGCCTGCTCAGGGTGGGATGGGTACGATGGTCATCAATGATGAAGGTGGCGGGTATAGCGGCACCATGGTGATCAACAAAAATGACGTCGATGTTGGGACGATGCGGACAAAAGTTGAGGAGGGAAGCCCAAAACGTAAGTCGAGCGGTGAAAATTCTATTGAGTCAAAGAATACTTAGCACAATTTTCCGGATAATGCACCGATCAGGTTATCAGCCCGCTTTCATGAAGTATCTTGGAAAAGGAACAGATGCAGGAGCATTGCAATCCGAACCAAGTTCGTCCTATGAAGAGTCCACAATGAAGCCTCGCAGACCTGTCGTTACTGCATCATCACCCACCTCCACCGTAAGTGATGGCACGGATATCACTTGAATGTGCACAAATACTAACGTGCAGGTTACAGCAATCACCACGACAACCCACCACGACAACCCCGTTTGACCTCATAAACAGCAGCAGCAGCCTCGAAAGCTTACAGGAACTTCTAGATCTTGTTGAAACAAATATGGAGAAAGAGCTTGAAGCTACACGTCTAAAGTATGAGAAAAAACGAGGACCGATTCTAGATGCTATCAATGCGAAGAAGGCGGCATTGGGAGCTGATGGGGGAAATTTGGGCGTGGAGGTATTTGGGAAAGGTTAAATTGTACACAGGGTTAACTGGATCGGAATAATGCGAAAAAGGATGCCATGAATCTCCTCATATGAAACTATTTCCACTATACTATATCAATGATTTGCCCGATTAGCAGTTAAGACTTCCACCCCAGTTTCCGTCACGAGCAAGGTCTCTTCGAATTGTGCAGACCTTTTCCCATCCCTTGTCACAACGGTCCATCCGTCGGGCCATTGCTCATCGTGCCATGTGCCTTCGTTAATCATCGGTTCAATAGTAAACTATACGCAAAATCAGCAACATTTCACAATCAGTAAAACCTTAGCACAGTACCCACCGTATGTCCGGCCTTCATGACACCAACAGCCTTATTCCGTGCGTAATGTGGCACACTGGGAGTACCGTGGAAGAGTCGATGTATTCCATGTCCACAGTAGCTTCGTACAACCGAGAACCCTTCCGACTGGGCATGCTTCTGAATTACGTTCCCCACCTCCCGATACAATGTCCCTGGTTTCACTGAAACGCCAATAAAGAAGCAGGGTCAGTATCATAGCGGTTAGATCCGTGGCCTACTACTTGCGTATACATACCCATGGCAATCGCCTTGTCCAGGCACGCTCTAGCAGTTTTGACCAGCCTTTTACCCGCCTCGTCCACATTTCCCACCAGGTAAGTCTCGTTCAAATCAGCGTGGAAACCATCGTACATGCAGCTCACGTCGAGATTGACAAGATCTCCGTCTTGTATTTCGTACTTGTCAGGGATACCTAACGATCGAATTCAACAGTCACTCAATGACTGCAGGTAACGATGCTGCAGTATAATTCAGTATAACGTACCATGGCAAATGACTTCGTTGACGGAGACACAACAAGATTTAGGGAACCCGTGATAATTGAGAGGCGACGGATATGTGTCTCGTTCTACATGTGAATCCAATTAACATACTACCCTCATTCAGGGTATTTTGAATGTAACAAATGCCCACCCAGGCAAGCTTCATGTACCACCCGGTCAATCTCGTCCGTAGTTGCTCCAACTTTGATGGCCTTGGCGCCTTCGTTTAATACGTCGCGAGCTATCTTTAGATCACATCCGATCAGCATCAAAACGTCAAAGAGAGTAGATCGTACAGGCCAACCTACTCTGCAGACAGTCCTCATCTTCTCAATTTCTTCAGGGTTTAAGACTTCGATTCGGGTGCTTCCTCTCAAACTGAGTTCACTGTATGGTTTGCCTTTTAAAGTATAGGCACATGTATTAGTTCCGTACTATACTGCCGTCAATAAATGGTTCAAAAAACGTAAATCCTACCATCCGCGGCATAATCCGGCTTTCCAATATGGTCGGGTACGGCACGTCTAGGGTCGAGAGGATACATTGGCCGTATCTTCCCAGTGTAGTGGTAGGACGGCCAAGGATTGAACGTTTTAACGACTTTAAGGAAGAGAAAAATCGGGCATCAGCCTCTATGCCCGAGGACAGTCACCCATGTTCCAGTTTAAAGTCAAGACGAACCTCCATTGGATAGTGCAGCCGTGGCGGTTTTGTGTTTCGCTTTGTGTTGTGCCCAACTCCCTTTAAAACATTCTTGACTACAGAAGTGAGATCCGGCGATATCCAGCTTCATGCACGTAGGGCATCTTAATTTCGCAGGCTGCCCACAAGCTTCGCAGCTGTACCCGTCCATCGTTGTCATCGCTGTTCTGGTTGTCAATGGTTGGTCTCTCACACAACCAACAAAAATATTGAGGGGTTAGCACGCGCCCTTGTGACAAGGCTGCTTCCCCACAATTTTCGAGATTGCGCTCCTTTTGAACATTTCTTTCAATCTTGCCTTCAACATGAGCTCCACCGCTCCAGCGCCTTTGTCCCGTCAGAGTTCTGCGGCTAACTCACCCATTATATATGAAGTCAATCTGTCGGTGCCGAAAGATCGTTGTTCCGACTATCTGACATATTTGGCGGATTTCACGCGAGGGGTCTGCTCGGAAGTGCAAGGTGCGTTTCATTGAAACGCCTGCTAGTTTACAGAAATACGGATGGCAAGGGGATAATGTGTGTTGATCGGATAGACATGAGCTCTCGAAATGTCTAGCTTGTCTCTCTGTAGCGATTGCGTGCTGGTGATCCTGAGTCATATCACCATGCTATCCGCAAGCTCAGTGAGCAGTGAATTGATATGGTTTATGCTGATTGCCTTTTTTCTAACAGGGTTTACGGGTGTCCAGATATTTACGCAACCCAAGCCAGTAGGACTACATTGGCTGAGCGAAGAAGGGGATTCCAAGGTTTGTTCCTAGATCTAGGAGCATGCATATGGAACGAACTCGAATCTTTCACTTTCGAATAGGCGTACGTAACAGTTCATTACCATGTTGCATCACAAATGGACTTGGATTTGTATTTGAAGGATCATCAGGAACGGTAGGGCCTTGCTTTTGACAGTTGCAAAAGTTTGTAGTTCTCTCCTTAACCCTTATTTCAAGAGTGGCGGTGGCCGATCAGAGCAAATGGGGCCATTTAGTTACCTCAAGACGGATCTTGCGACTAACATTCAGCACTATTGATGCGTAACCTGTTCAATATCATTTACAACTTAGATGTCTGGGAAACCCCCGCCCACCAAAATTTATACATGCAGTCGTATTTATACATTGGGGTCTAATCGCTGCCATATTCTGCCGCGACTTTGAATTATGCGGGAACGACAGCCAAAGTGCTCCTGCAGCGAGGACAGCGGTGAATCTTGTCCTGTCAGAGCCATTTAAAAAGGATTAGCACAATGCACATGACGGCAGAACATGTGTTGTAGTCTCCCCACCTGACATGTGCCAGAGCAGAAGGGAAGGCAAAAGCATGGCCAGCAAACAAGACAAAGCATAAGCGACGTGCAATAAGCCAAGAGTCCGGGAGCATGGGTCACTTTTGTAACGACATCCGTATTGCAAAACGGACAGTGCATTCTGTTCGCAAAAGCTTATTTCAGATCATGGTATATCAGATTGAAAGATACAAAGACTGACTCACCTCAACGGCTCCCGTGCATCTACCATTACAAACCCATCCACAACGTTCACTCCAATGGGCGTGTTTGTTCTCACTACATAGACGTCAGCTTGAGGGTGGGCTGTATAATAGTCGGCTGGCGCCTGCGGATAGGGGGTTCCTCCAGCCGTACCGGGATAGACATTATAATTTGGACCACCAGGCTGCGGGTAGAGAGGTGTAGTGAACGTGGCTGCTGACGAGGACGGCTGATGCGGGCCTGCGTAAGCGGGAGGCGAGTCGTTGGAAATGGACTCGTAGTTGTTGGGTTGTTTCTTTTCAGGGTTCGACATATTGAATGGCTTCTGGGGATAAACAGTAAGTGTAATTTCGACGGGAAACAGACTAAAGCCAGTGAGCCTTTTTTAAACCTTCCGTTTTTAAAAACCTTGGCGGGGAAGCGGGGAAATGAAGGAAAAACGAAGAACTCGTGGCTGTGGTTTTGTGGGGAGGGAAGAAACTCGCAGTGATAATCAATGAGTCATCAAGGAAGTCATCTGCATGAGTGCACGTGAACCATAACATTCAATAGTGTAGAGGTGACAGAAACTGGCACTAGCTACTACACCAGGGAATAAACCGGCGACAACCGGTTCGGAAAAGGTAACTAACTACTACTAGGCAATTATACACGCAACGGTTGTTCTAACCGGATAACTGCCCACCACTACACGTGGTCCCTACTAGGCCTTGATCCAGAACTCTTGATGGCATTGAAGCCAGACTCTTGCATCCAGGAGCGAATCGACTGGGCAGCGTCACAAGCTGGTGGATTTTCAGTGACAAGGCTTGGAGACTAAAAAAAACTTGCATGTCAGCGAGGTGACCTGATGACAAGAAATGCAAGAAATGCCATCGATACATACCAACCAAGCTCAACTAATGTGGCAGTATAATAGTAGGTTTTGTTATCGGATCCGATTGGTTGCCGCTGGTTCTGATCACGGTTGCTGTCGGGCGGTCGAGGTCCTCGACACCACCACATCGGCGTTCTCATGGTTGACCGAGTCGCGATGAGGTTGTGTGGGTCGCAATGAGCGTTGCGCAGATGCTTCGAGTCGAGGATGGGTAAAGAGGAAAGAGGGAAAAGGCCCCCCTTTTATAGACCTTTGGCATGCGCCTCACCGCAGTTTAAAAAAAAACATTACAATACATGCCACACCAATCTGAGCGATAGAGGGGGGTTCTGATTATGCGATATGATTAACCGGATTAATCCGGATAATAATGCGTCCTAGTGCCATTTTCAATCGCCTCCACACTATGAGAGAAGATGTCACGTGCAATCACTGCTGGGTCGATATCACACTGTCCAGCTTGATCATCCACCAGCGGCTTTCTTCCAGTTTTCTACCTGTTATAGACGAATTTTCCATGCTTTAACAAATATCGATAAGGGTCACAATATTTCTATGTATCGGTACTGTTTCTCTCCATGTACTCTGCAACCTCTGGCAATACTTGCTATTCTGGTTTGAATGAAAAGATCAGCTTGTCCAATCGAGACTAATGGACGCTTTTTTTGTTTTAAAGAAAGCGTACGGTACACTGAACAGGTCCGAACATGAAAATGCTGCCAACTCCGACATTTACATAACCAAACATTCCTCATAACCGACCATTACTTCTTGATATCTGCAGGTGCTTGTATTGTAGTCTGATAACACATGTTTTATTAAAAACACCGTACACTGAACAGTTCTGAACAAAAATGTTGCGAACTCCGACAGTTACATAACCAAACCATTCCTCATAACCGACCATTACATTTTGCAGTCTCTTCTTTTCGTGCTGCCGTTTTCCCTGCCTTTTCATCTGGCTTCCTATTTGTTCCAGATACTTTAAAGTGGCAGGCGTGAGCGATATCCTATTAGGTCCAAGTCCTTGATAACGTATGATTTGATGATACTCTACTCGGCACCAACGATTCCTCATAACCGACCATTACATTTTGCAGTCTCCTGTTTCCGTGTATGCCATATTGACTATGGGGGTACTCTGTAGTATATCACGCCAGTACGCTATACTACAGAGTACCCCGACTATGGTAGTCAATGAGTCATCAAGGACGTCACAGTGGATCGAACCAGGTACATGACACGCTGTGATAATCCGCTGAGCACTTGGGCCAACTATTGCAGCTCATCATCGATTTTGCACGTTTGACAGATATTGGCATCGTCTTTATTCCAATAGTAGTGTTATATCCATTCAAACATGCTGCTGTACGCAGCTGGGGTTGGCCTTTCGTGTCGTCCCTTCTGAACTTTTCTATGGTTGTGAGTGGTTCTCTTAATGGGTTCGAGCGGAGACCGGTTTGATGGGGGGCAGTAAGGAATGGGGCAGAGTCCGACGTATCTGAATTGGGAGCTTATTTCGTCTAGTTTTGTCAAAGAGCACCAAACAAGATGGCTTCTCGGCATCCCATTAGCAACGTCTCCGTCGGCGGTGACGCCGGGGAGCTGCAGTCACCAAAGGCTCACTCCTCAGGTGAGGAAAGCACAGGCAAGAGCAGCAGCACCAGGCAGGGCAATAGCAGTGCTCCTGCCGCCCCTATGGGACAATCCTCCTCTTTTTCAACTGTTACCTCTCCGGCACAGACGACTACATCCGCTGATAGCACTTCTCACTTCCGTAAGAGACCTCGTATAGAGGGCAACCTTGGCTGTGTTTTCGCGGATTGCGAGCCGGACATGTGGGAATATCGTTTTCAGCGTCCTCGTCCGCCGAAGTCGGAACTGATACGGACCTGGGACGGCCACCCCGAATTCCGGAAGCAATTTGAAGACTTGGTCGACCTTGGTATTCAGAGATATCTTCGCCTGGAAGCTCTTGAACCCAACCATCTGGCAAGATTTGCTCTCTGGGCATGGGGATTGAATGTGGCATATGCAATGGAAGGACAGGATATGCCTGAGGGGGAATTTTTTGAGGCGCAAACAGCTGCAATTGATTTGGGCAAGAGTTTTCGAGACGAGACGCGGCTCTGCCAGCGTATTATTTTCAAATATGATTTTGATTTCGACTTCGTTTCAGGCGAGCAGGCACTCATTCGTTATCAAAAACTTGGACCTGAACGGATGACGCTCACGCCTATACTTTCAAAGTACATGGCAAAGAAGGCAAAGCAAGATGAGAAGGCACGGAAAAAGGTGAAACGAAATGATGACAAGGGAGAATGTAAGGGCCAGTTATGAGGAGCTGAGGCGGTCAATAATGTTACCCGCAGGTCCTCTGCCTGTGGAAGTGACCCTCATCCTTCCCCGCCTTTCTTTTAAAATTTGCTTTTCAATGTACCTGCAGCAAGTGTCCAGTTGAACATCCCCATTTGAGGGTAGAGCTCAGATGTGTACTAGGGGGGATAAGGGCGCCGTTTGCCTGTAGTTGTGAGGTCGTGAATAGGTTAGCTAATTACTAGGGTAATCCCAGCGTGTTGGGTGTGGGAGATATGTATTGTAGTAAGATCGCCCACTAATCCCAATCATCATCATCCTCGTCCTCCTTGCTGGCCCGGTTCACTCGAAATCCAGATCGCCTCTGATCCGATTCTTCATCGTCATCTCCGTCACCCCGCCGTGTGGTAAGGACGGTATCGTGAATAGCGCCAATTGACTTGAGCAGCTTCTCCACATGGTCTACGGTCGTGCCCATCCCACCAAGCTGCTCGATCCCAACCAGATTGCGCTTCAGATCCCCCTCGCCGTATATCAATAATGTCGGCACGTTGCGATCTGGGTAGTTTGGTATACATTGGTCCGCAACGATTTTTAGGAATTTTGTTGAGCGATACCGAGCAGCGATGCGCTCGAGGATGCCGTTGATGAGTTTACAGGCTTGGATATGATTCTGAAACAGATGCAAGACAACCCATGTGTCTTTGCTTGCCTCCGTCACTTCCACTGTATAATCTGGCTTCGAGATTTGGGTGACAGTGCCATACTTCTCCAACCTTGCAGCAGCGTTCATTTCAGCGATGCGCTGACGACGATACGCCCTAACGTTGGAGTGGAAAGTCAGGTAACCGGAATCCTGTGTAGACGTTTACACGTACTCTAAGACCCGGTCGTCTTCTTCGTCCTCAAGCTCGTCGAGTTCGTCCAAATTGCGGTCTTCCAAGGCTTTCTCGCCATACTTCTCTGATATCACTTGGTCAAGCATTTCGTTTATTTGGTCTTCTGTGACCTCAGGTTCCGCGGGGAGGATTCCCTGCGCTCGCAACGCAGCATTCCATTCTTGACACAAGTAACAGTGCCAGCTTCAGTACAGATTCCGTTTATTTGATGAAAATAGTCATCTACCTGTGTCTTCGGCCATTGCGTCTGTACGTTGGTGAAAGGAAGGTTAGTTAAGGACTGAGCGAGCAGGAACGCGGCTGGACAAGACTCGTGTCCGACCGCGTCCCGGAGATCATTCTCACACTTCAAATGGGAATCCAAGGACTTCTGCCTTTCCTCAAAGACATACACCGTCATGTTCACATAAGTACATATCGAGGGCAAACTGTAGCTGTAGACACATACGTATGGCTTCACCGAGGCGCATTTGCTTGCGCATTAGAGCTGGCCACTGGGCGTCCCACTCGCAAGTACGTGTCCTCATATTTCTGTCCGTTCAAGTGTTCTTATCTGACAATGGATTCGGCGCAGATATGTAGATTATTGTATGAGACAAGTGCAGTTTCTGCTAAATCACAATGTCCGACCAATCATGGTTTTCGACGGGGGTAATGTCAGAAATGCTCATATGGCTTTTGGGGAGCCACCGACTTATTTATTGGACTGAAAGGTTGCCTTCCCATGAAAGCTGAAACTGAGAAGCAACGACGAAAGTAAGTGCTATTTTGGTTTATGAGCCTTCATTAGTGGAGCTACAAAACTTGCTTTCCATTAGACGACGAGAAGATAATATGAAGAAAGGACATCAGTTTCTACGGACTGGCCAAATGATGAAGGCAACAGACTGTTTCCGGCAATGTGTGGACGTTACACCGCGGATGGCATATGAAGTCATCAAGGTACGGAGCGGCATCTCCGCCAAGAGTAGGGAGTCCGGTCTTGCTAATTCATCAGAGAAGGAGCTTCAAAGGGCAAATGTCGAGTACATCGTGGCCCCATACGAGGCGGATGCTCAGATAACTTTTCTGTTAAACTCTGGGCTAGCCAGCGCCGCCATTACGGAAGATTCAGATCTCCTCGTTTTTGGGTGCTCTAAGGTAGTTCCTGTTGATGTAGTTTCTCATGAGCGAATGAGGACCAAACCACAGTGCCAAACCCTCAGGTGTTGCTAAAGCTCGATCGAGAAGGAAATGCAGTCGAGATAAGCATTGACGACTTTGGACACATAGATGGAATGGAGACTTGGACACATCGTCGATTTCGCCAAATGTGCATCTTATCTGGATGCGACTATCTAGAGTCGCCTCAAGGCGTGGGGATAAAAAAAGCTCACGGGCTATTGAAGTACAAAGACGCAGAGGAAGTGAGTGTGCATGGGTATTTGCAGAACATTCGGAATTGCTGACTGATACCCACGTTGCAGCTCATTAAGGGCTGGAGATGGGGGCGAGCTGTCAATGCACCAAAATGCCCCGGTGACTATCTGGAGCGCTTCCGTCTTGCCGAATTGACTTTTTTGCACCAACGAGTTTACGATCCTCGGAGTGGCACTATCATCCATTTGAATCCTCTACCTAGCAATTTACAGCTCGATACCCAACTGATTCGATTTCTTGGGCCGTAAGTGCCATGCTAGTGAATATTGGAAAGTAGATCGCTTCATAATGAAAACTCGTATGTTGTTTGTAGTGACCTCTCACCTGACATAGCCAAAGGAATTGCAACCGGGATTCTTGATCCCGACACAAAGTTGCCGTTCGAAGGCGACGCGGGGCTACCACTTGACGCAAATGCCACCAGTGCAGGGCCTTCTCTCCCACCACCTAGTAACTCAATGGACACAACTGTTGCAGAACCAGCAAATACCAAGGAGAACCTCTCACCCATGAACTTCCAGGGAACGCACTTCAAAGGTCCACCCTCTGAGCCGGATAAGCCAAGTATATGTGCTGATTCAACCCCCATATTTCAACACTCTCCACATTCCAAAATACTGAACCTCAAACCTCGCAATGTATCTCTACCCGATGAGAAAAGTGTCAGCCGGACTGGAAGCATTTCTCCCTTTTTCCAAAGCCTGTCCAGCCTTGGCAAACAGGCTGCTAAACGTGAGCTGTTAACACCTCGCAAAGTGGAGGACATGGACGAAACAGGATCCTCTGCGAAAGCTGAAATTCCCGCGTTGATGGCATCACAGGATGACAGTCAAGATGCTTCAAGTCAGACTGCGAACGATGGGTCCCTAGTCAAAAGAAGTTGGAATGATCAACCGCTTTCGATATCATCCCAACCTCTGCAGACAAGTGCAAGCGGAACTATATCCCTTGGAATCACTTCGACCAGAGTTGAGAAAAGTGTCAAACGACGGAAGTCAGATACGGAGACCGATGGCACCCTCATCGCTTCGTATAGTTCCGCACAAGAATTCACCTCTACGGTAGAGAAGGTGTCGTCATCCACACTAAGCGCTTCAACGACAATACCTCCAGCTGCACATGCACAACCTGGCATAGGACATCGTTCCATAATACGCACCCATATATTCCGTAAGGGCGTTGTAGCTCAAGGAATCGGTGCACGATGTTCTATTACACCCGCATCTCACACGGTAATGCAAGCCTGGAAACGCACCGTGCGACTGGCCGTGTCTTACTAAAATGCTTGTTGCAGAAATTTCGGCAGCATGTACTGCAGTTCTCACATGTGGGAAGCAGTACTTCCTTGAAAGGTGATGATAGTCATTTAGAGACTTGTTCAGAACAGAGCGCATTAACGTGGTTACTACCCAGCTACCAAAAAACGATTAGGCGTTGGGAAAATAAAGGAGAAGAGATAGACAGCGGAACGTTTCTGATGCTATATATCGGCCTGACACGATCGGAATAGTTCTGCTCATTTATTCCCATTGATAGAGTATTTGTAAAATAGTGCCTGCAAAAGGATCAACTGACGCCATGCCGCGTATGGATCAGCGTGTAAATATACAAGATAGATCCATCAGCAAAGCTCTTCTCCGCAAGCTCGGGCTTCACATGACGTGTTTGTCTTTACGAGATTTTCACTCAGCGAAATGGGAAGATGCTTCGTCGGTATCGCCAACCTTCCTTTGGTCTACAGACGGACCAGGCTCCACGGTCGTCCCACTCTCAATCAAAGTCTACACAAAGAGGGACCATAAAAACAAAACCGCGATTCGCTAACTCTTACTAAGTTACTTACGTCTTCTTTTTCGGTAAGCTCGGACGCGTGAGGTTCAGGGGTGGGCTCCCGCAGGGGTCGGTCAGGTCTACGACTGCTGAACTTGTCATGGCGCCATGCATCTGGAGATGATGTCCGAGGCTTCAACGCCCATGATGGTCGCTGTAGATCAGGTGTACCATAAGATGGACGAGGGTTAGGGTTGGGAAAGGGACCGGGTCGACTCCTATCATCTGCACGGCGATCTACTGGCCGATCGCGCAGACCCGGCCGCGGGATGAACCTGTCTGACTGACGACGACGCTGCTCTTTTCGTTAGCCAGATATCAAAGGAGAATCATTCAAACCGCCAACGAACCTGCTTAAATTTACAGAAAAAGGCAATGAAAGAGCTCAAGATTAATTCAAGTCACTTCACTCAAGTCCGTTGCCGCAGTGGAAGCGACAATGGGAGCCATTGTCCAGTTTCCCCAGGCATTGCGGCCCTCGCACCCATCTCATACATCGCTTGCATGAATCACGTATTTACCTACATCATAGGGATTTAAAAAGAGCCATGGAAAGAGATTGAGAACATGGCATATTAGATACTACCTCATAAGAATCCAGTCTTCCGCTCCTGCTGTTGGTAGTCCTTCCGCTATCGTAGTCCCTTGTCTCACGGTGATCATAGTTACCCCGTCTATCCTCTCTGCCAGAATCTTGGTATGCTCTGTCTCGACCGTATCGAACACTTTGTCGCGAGTCGTTCAACTGTCCTCTGTCCCCCCTCTCGTTCTTATAGGCAGGCGTGTGGTACTGTCGAGAGTCTCTCGCCGTGTCGTACTTCTGAGAGTCGCGACGCTCTCTGCCATATTCATCCCGAGCAACAGGTTTTCCATAGCTATCACTCCTTCCAGAATTTTTGGGAGAGCGGCTGCGTGTTCTGTAAGATCTGCTGTCGTCCGAGGCTCTGCGGAAACGACAGCCAGTGACGGTAGATCAGATGATCTAATTTGCCACAAGCTGAAAACAATCGCGGCAACCCTGCCGTTAGACGTATCCAACGTACCTGTCTCTTCTGCTATCGTTATAGTTTCCACGAAGCATATTTGTTTCCACTTGCGTTGGATGAGGGCGGCAAAAGGAGGTTCACAGAAGAGAAGCGCACAACGCTACTGAATGTGCTCACGTGACGAGAGGTGCTCAATGCTTCAAGTCGCCGCAGATCGCAGCAGAGGGAGGATCAAAGCGAACATGCCACCACAACCATCAACACGGACGCCTTACACAGACTACTTTGCCTATGTGTATGCAGGGATTGTCTTCATTGGGGGGATAATTGGGTTTATCAAAGCAGGTTGACAACACCAGTCCCTTCATCCTCAAAGTTCGCTACAGTCGTCTTACCTACACGCCTGTACCCAGGTAGCTTGACGTCTATTGGTATCGGAACAGTGACAGGCACATTACTGGGAATAGGTGCACGACAAGTCAGCGCAAACCCAAGGCACTTTTCGCTGTTGTTGAGTAAGTTTGGTTTGCTTTTATCTCTTTGTACGTGTAGGATTAGGAACTGATGTGCTCGTCTTTTGCGTTTGCCTTCTAGTCTTGAGTGGGGCCCTTATGGTGGTGATGGGGACACGGTACTCTCAGTCAGGTATGTACTATCAGTCCCTTCCGCGTCATCGTGTTGGGATGGATATGGCCTCGACAAAAACGGCCTGTGTTGGCCTGCTGGTGCTGTTCGGCATAATGCTTCGCGAAGTTTGCCTTACACCACTAGCCGGCCAGCCGCTATGTTTTTCGCCTATACCATTCAATGCGTGTAATTAACAGCGCACACCGCTAATCAATCTCTCCCGTTCGTTGTAGGCAAAGTGATGCCCGCTGGCCTCATTACTCTCATCAGGTACTAACTCCGTAGGTGTGTTCACGCTCACCGTGATTTCTGATGTTTATTGTTCTCGGTCGTTAGTGCCATTTCCTTTCTGCGGTACGGAATCCGCCTGGCGTCAAATTGATATATAATCTTGTAATGGAGGTTGCTGTCGAGCTATGCTCGACTGAGTGGATCAATGGTCATTGTACATCTGTATTCTGTCATCTATCTATCTGCATAATAAATGCTGTCCGCGAAGCGAGGTGACTAATAATAGGAATTGGAGGTTTTCCTCCCCGTCACTGCAGTTTCTGGGATGCTTCCAATAAGAACACCTGCCAGACGCGTCCTCATCGCTGACATGCCAGCTGACTTTCACCAAGCGCGTTCTTTCTGGGTTTGACCTCCAGTCACACAATGTACTGGCCATTTGGCTCAAAACAACAGCAGAATGAGACGGTTACCTCTCCAAATGAAGAGCAAGTTCAAGCAGCACATACAGAAGGTGTTCCAGCATTGTCAGCTATGGAACCCTCAGCACCGAATTCTGAACTAACACTACACACCACAACGCCTGGCTTGCCTCCTCCCCGTCTCGAATCGCTCAGCTCACCTTCGGATCAGGTGTACCCCACGTCATTCTCTGGTTTCTTTTGGGAAATGCTCGGCCTTTCCTCTCCAAACGTTGGAGAGGGTCCGTACTCCTATGCGACTTCGTCAAATCGTGAACTCTCCCAAGCGTTTAACGAATATGAAGGGTTGGACGACGAAGAGCCCACAGTCACGTTGCCGGACGTCCTGGCTGAAGCTGCACCGATACCCCCATCTGTTACTAATATGCCTGCATCTGCCAGCACCATGGTTCTATCACAGTCTGCACCTGATCAATCAAGCGTGAAAGCGCCAGTATCCGGGATGCGATTATCCCTTGACTCATTATTCAGACGGCGGAGTTCCTTGATCAGTCCTGCACCACTGGGAGATGAAGGAAGTAAGGTCACGGAGGACCCCCCGTCGCCGATATCACCTTTCGAGGAAATTTCTCGTCCTCCTATTGCTCTCATAGGGCGCAAAGATGACATTCAGACCGTTTTGGACCACAATATGGCTGAACAGGTGGGTCTAGACATGCTGTGCATCTCGGAAATGGAGCTACGTTTCTGCATGTTTATTCTCGCCATTATAAGTAAATAATTTGATGGTATATTGTTTTGATGAAAATGCAGCTTCGTCTACATCTACCGCCAATACTACGAGAAGCACCCAGTTGGATATTGGTGTATAGCATGGAACAACACGGAATCAGTCTAAATACGTTGTATAAGCGTAGTGAAGGTCAGGACGCGGCATTGTTGGCGATTCGAGATGGCTCGGGGGGGATCTTTGGCGCATTCGGGAGCGAAGCTTTGAATGTGCATGCAGGTTACTATGGTACTGGAGCATGGTCAGTATGCATTGCTTTTATTTTGAACATTAGCACAATCATCCAATGTTCGATCACGCTCCACCTAGCTTCCTGTGGAAATTGCTCGATGGTGGAGACATTAAGGTGTTCCCGGCCACTGGGCATAATGATTACTTAATGCTGAGTGAGCCTCACTTCATTGCATTTGGTGGAGGGTGAGTGCTTCGTATATCTGGCACAGGGTCATATACTCGAGATTGATTTCCAAATTCAATGTTCAGGGAAGGTCACTTTGGCCTATGGATCGATGACGAACTCTACAATGGCCATAGTGGACCCTGCCAGACTTTTGATAACGAGAAGCTGTCGACCACATCAGAATTCGAGATCGTCGGTCTGGAGGTGTGGACTTTCAAAATGTGATAGATTGCGAGGCGGGCACATGGCATCCGGTCAATATTCCAGAACAGTTTGCTAGGATGGTGAATTCCTCCTAGCTCATTATCTATATATATATATTTTTGCTCCCTTGAGGGATTGTAAATACGCATATTTCTAAGCATAGCATCCTTCACGTTGGGGTTTTCTTCGGCCTGCTCGTCTTTTCTACAATCTTCATTTGGCGCAGTCAGTGCAGGACAAATCCTCTTTACTGGTCGACATATTTCTTAGCATAATCGATACTGCTTGAATCGATAACTGATCCTGCTAACGTTCCCGTAAGTATGCTAGTATGGTGCAAAAGTTAACATTATGAGCAACTTCAGTTGAGCGACAGCAGCTGGCATTATCATGACTGCTAATCCTTGCGCCCATATGATAGAACAGCAGTTACAACTTGGTTTGCAATTCGACGTCCAAACCAGGTCTCACGGACCTCCCACGCAACTACGTGGCAGCAGCTACACTCCTGTCTCAGACGAACTGCATTTGTAATATTCTACTGTTATTTTGTGTTTCTTTTACAGTGGCCAAACAACTTGAGTCTATACTTCCTTCCCACTCCTCTCTCTTCTCTTCAGCGGCCTCTGTGTTAAACAAGAAACCAGCGAGTGTGCACTCATGCCTGTGGCACCAATGGCCACATCCTCATGATATCGACAAAAACCCTTCCGTTTGTCAAAGAAGCTTTGAATATATTGCCCCGGAGGTTGGGATATCCATCTGCTGGGGGTTTCCCATGTTGCCGCTCCCTCACACGAATGGATCCTCACCCGAAGTCGCTCCTCTACTGTCCTAGAAACGACCACCATTTTACCAGTATGTTCTTGGCTTTTGTGGAGGTCCCCCAAATGTTATCCGTAGGTATCACTGGCCTTTAGGCAGAAGGCCTCCAAGCACGTCCGGGGATAAGCGCAACTTGAGACAATCCGATGAAAGCAAAGTAATTAGCACTGGGATATGCAGATCTCGGGCATCGCAGTGAAACACAGCGACTCGCATCGGCTCGTTTCAACAAGCCGCCATTCTATTTTCGTCGCTTCAAGCTTTCTTCTGACAAAGCAGTTCGTTGGGTAGACAAGGTTAGCATACAATAAACCACGGTCTTGAGATGCAATAACTACCGAGGCGTTTCGTGTAATCATCGAGTTCCGAAACAACTTGTTCAATGCTTGCAACCTGACGCTCCACATCAAATATTTGATCTATGTATGTTTCCATTTCCGCGTCTATGATAGAGCTTAGATCTCACAAGCTGTTCAATAACGGGTGATTGGCGGGGGCCTTACAAGTGTGTTGAACTTTGCCCATGCCAGCTATAAGCTCTTGTGCTGTTGCGTTATACTCTGCGTAACGGTCGCGTGCCAGAGCAGTCATCGACTGGAGAACGGTCAAATCGTCTCCTGCGGCTTTTAGAGAGTTGTGAAAGCTGAGAAGCGATTTCAAATAAAGCTACAAGGATACGGAGCCCATACCAGTAACGTCGTTGCGGATAGCCTCTGCCACTTTGACAAGCGTATCCTCAGCAACCGCTTCGGCAATGCCTAACAGACGTGATTGGTCAGGAGGCAGAGAGACGCTGCGTGGAGGGAAAGAAGGGCTAGTGGAGCCCATTGATGCTTGTCGAGGTGGCAGAGGTGGTGCTTCGCTGGATGCTCCAGATGATTGCATGGTTTGCAGTCTCCTGGGATTAGGGCGTGGCTGCCCATTCACGTGGATTTAACCATGTTAATGATCTGGTTCGATCCTTGGCTTGGATAATTCCATACATTAAAAGATAGTCGGATAACCCTAATTACCTTGCGAGATCTTGCACATCTTGCATAAATTGCGTTATATCTAGGATGCATAACGATCGGGGCAGCCGCTCTTGAAAGTCGAGCAAACCTCGCCCGTGAATTATAGCGTGAAATTAATTTGATGTGGGTATTTTAAATTAATTTTTTTTGGTTTGATTGCAGCAGGTTGCAGAGGCAGTTGGAATCAAAACACTCATTCCTCTTTTTTGACGTTTGGGAAGGATCGTCGGTCATGGCGCGAAATTGGGGCCTGCGGGCAGGCTATTGGCTGTTGCTCGTGGCTCTCTTGATTCCACAAGCCTGGGCTTGGGAGCAGCGCGATTACGAGATTTTTGATTTGGTATAGTACTGACATATACGGCGGTAGTTTCATTTCGGCCAACTAATCTTGTCGGCCCTGCAGAACGACGATCTTCTGTCGGTGAGTGGCCCTGGGACAGACTTCTACTCGGTGCTCAACGTCAGGTGAATTGGTACCTTAAAAATTATACTTTGCTCCGTGGCTCATGGTTATATCAGTCGGACCGCAACTACAAGTGAAATACAACGAGCGTATCGAAAGGCATCCCTATCCTTGCACCCTGATAAGAACCCTGATCCAGCAGCGCATGAACTCTATTCCCTTTTAACCTCAGTGGCTGCTATATTGAGGGATCAAGAGTTTCGGGAACGATATGATGGACACCTTCAGCGCGGCATTCCAAGATGGCGAGGTCAGTAGAGCGCAAGCACCTCGTGTTTATGTCGATATGGAAGATATCTTCTACTAATTCTATGATTCTTATATCTTCTTAATGTGCAGGAACCGGGTACTACTACAGTCACTACAAACCAAGTCTCGTCACGATCTCTTTGTTGATCATATTGTCGACAAGCTTTGTTCAATATGTGTCCGCCTGGCTCATCTACGTCCGACGCAAATCGCACTTGCTTGAAGTGGAGAACAGCATCAACAATCTCACTTACACCCAAGTTAAAAAGCAGCTTAAAAAACGGGGGAAGCTGGACTCGCCCAATATATCACGCCGTGCTTTCAAAAACGCCACCCCTCTTCAGCTACTCCAGGAATCCGGCGAGATCCCTAGCGAATTAACTGTTTCACGGCCTTCACTGAAAGACGTCCTCATTGTGCAATTGCCTGTGGGCTTGATGCGCGGATTGTTCAATGCACCTCGCATTTTGCAACGGGTAGGAGCCTTCTTCAAGGAAGCGGCCGACGATAAAACATTAAGAGAAACTGAGAGATCGGAAGACACAACTGAGAGCGAAACTAGCGAACGGGATGACCTCAATCGTGAAGAACGGCGAAGCAGAGGAAAGAGAAAGAGGGTTCCCGCGAGATTTACGGTCGACAATCCACAGACTGAATCAATCGGAGCGCCGATCGACAACCCATTCGGAAATTCTGAAGCAATTAAACAAGCATCTGATGAGAATCACGGCGTAGCACAAGAAGGCGACCAAACTTCCGAAGTAGGAGAAATACCACTCAAGGAAGGGGAATGGGAGCTGCAAGAAATAAAAACTCTGGTTGCATTGGTCAAAAAGTACCCAGCAGGTACGTTCAAATTGGCAATTAAAGCAAAAAGACTTGCGCCGTGAAATCGACATGATGTCTTATAGGCAGCCGTGGACGATGGGTGCTAATTGCAAGGGAACTGAATCGCGACGTAGATGATGTATCTAGCAAGGCTCGCGCCATTGCGACCAATCCTACTTTGAAATTGCAATGACCAGGTGTATTTATGACAGATAACCATCGGAAGTATATGGAGCAGCTCTAGTACATAGAAATAGAAACCGTATGCAACAAGCCTTGGACGATTATCATCGGGCAGAGGTTTTTTCCAAGATCTGTTCGAGGACGGTTTGTAGCTGCACTCCGCACGTCGAAAACCACATGACTGTTGCTTGCTCGTCAAATAGGGTCTTCGCTAAGGTTATCCAATCCGTGCAGGTGCTGGTAAGCATCGAGGCGGCACTGGCCACCTCCGCTGGTAGTATTGGGGGATCGATGTTGCTGACAAGGTCGTCAACACGTTGAGAGCATATGCTACTTAAACGGGCTAACTCGTCTAACATTTGGACCCTCTCCACATCCACTTGAACCCTTCCTTCTTTGCCTGAATTGATGATTTGTGAGGATACTTTCTTCCCGTCCTTCTCCAGAGTTGTCATGGTTTTCTTCATCATCAGCTTTGTGGCTTTCACAATCACGATGCATCTTTTGACCAGGTCCTTCTCCGTGTCACTAAGTTCCTTAGGCTCCGTTTCTCGCTCATCATCTGACATTAGATCGTCCCAGCCTTCGTCCGCTATTCCTCCTGCTTCCAATACCTCCTCGAGCTCTAGCACTGCATCGGCCACCAAGGTTATCCGGCTGTTCACTTTCTTTGCAACAGCTGCTTCATTATTCATTGACATATTCTCAACAACTTGGCACGCTTTCCACACGATCCCCGTCGATGATAGGTATCCGAGCTTGTTACCGCTGTCCAATGATCTTGGTTTCGAGAGGAAGTTATTGGCCAGGTGTGCTACGTCAAAAAGGAGAGATATTGAGGTACTGCGAATTTCGTCCTGCAGGGATACTCCAAGTGAAGGGGGAACCGACTCAACAACCGCGACGATATGCAAAATGCACTTTTCGATGTTTGTGCATATTTCGGGAGTGTCCTTTGCTTGGTGGGGTGCCGTTAATGAGAGCTGTAACATTGGAGAAAGAAGTATTTCAGTTCCGCTCGCACTCACTTAATGTTACAGAAAGAGCGCCTCACCTTTGTAGCATTGTGAGAGAGAACTTTTGCTCCTTTCACAAGCTCATTTTTGAACCAAGACTCGTCGAACTGCTCAGGAGATACTGCGCTTGTTGAATCCCATTTTTGCAGCTGCTCAATGTATTTGAGCGCCTGATCAATTAGTCGGTTTAGCTTCAATTCAAGCTGTCCAGTCGCTTCGCTTTCGCTGGTCATGGTTATGCGCTGGGTCAAACTGGACATGAGCTTGATGTGCAATCAAATGGCTGGTCTTGTTGCCATGACATCTGTGAGGGATTACGTCCCAAGTTACCTACTCTGCTGGAGCAAGCATTGAATCAAGCTTTCAACAACCCCGTTTGGAATGGACTTGACTCCACCGCCGGATGCACCACCGCCCCAGCTTTTTGAGGAATCCTCACAATACCGACACTGGAAGTATACTCCTGAAGAGCTTCGTGAGCTCCGTGAGAAGGTGAACGCAGAAGGAGCGGCGCGAGTCCGGAAGGCGTTTGCTGAGGAATGGGTACGTAAAGTATACAGATTTTTGCTTTTTGTTTCGAGCAGCTCAAACTGATCGGCCGTCACAGTCCGTAACGAAGGGCGCAGAGGTGGGGCCACCAGAGGTGGACTGCATAACCTCGGAAGAGCAGCTAGCGTTGTGTCGATTCTATGAAGGAAAATTAGTGCACTATTGTAACTACTTGAAGTTTGATAGATCCGTGCAGGTATGCTCTCCTCGACGCTTCCAGTTGAGGCCCCCAAACCATGCTTGGACCCCGCTAACTGGCCTCAGGCCACCGCCCTAGCTTTCTACAAACGGTTTTATCTCCTAAATACCGTTATGGATTATTGCCCAAAGTTATACCTGTGCGTGTAAGAGATGTTCATATTATTGTTTTAATGGCCACCGCTGACTCTGTCACATAGTATGACATGCATTTTCTTGAGCAGCAAAGTCGAGAACTCACACATGTCGCTTGACTTGTTTCTGGGAAAGATACCAAATCCACCGACATCTGACAAGATGGTCGAATTGGAGTTTACCTTGTCGAGGGGTATTCGCTTTGAGTATATGATCCATCACCCGTACTGGCCCCTACACGGTTTCTTTCTGGACATCCAGGTACAATCTGCATCGTTCTGATTTATGTACGTGATTGTCAGGAACTCTAACAGTGAAGTCGGTAGAGTTATCTGGCCTCTGCCCATCCCCGTCCCGCACACGAGCATCTCTTTCAGAAGCTGCAAAAAACCTACGATCGCGCACAGCACTTCACCCAGTTAGCCACCTTGAGCGATTTGATCTTCACCCATATGCCGTCCCAAATAGCGTTGGGGTGCTTACTAGCGGCAGCTCGGGAAACCGATTTTGAAAAGGAGCTGGACAAGTAAGGAAGTAGGCTGCTTACACTTTCGAATATGGCAACCTAACGCGCATTCGACGTTCAAAAGATACCTGGCCGCCCGTTTCCATGCGGACCCAGAGCGCCTTGTGAAGTTGCGAATGGCACTAGAAGAAGTGGCAGATGATGTTACAACGCAAGGCGACAAGGCTGTCAACAAAGAAGTGGCTGCGCAAATCGCAAACAAACTACGCAAGTGTCAAAATCCAGCATTTGATCCAGAGAGTGCATTGTAAGTCATGTGAATCTAACGATAAGTGTTCGATATTGTGATTCTCATGTTTTGTGGCATTTTTCGTTAGACATAAACATAAAGCCCAAGAAGAGACTCGAGAGCGGGAGGAGCGTCATGCCAAGAAGGCAAAGCTTGATCATGAGCGACGGACGAGTTTGGAAGGATTATTTACAGCATAGTCCTGTTATGATCACTATTCAGGGGAGCAAGCGACACCAATTTGTATAATATATTTAATTGTCATCGACCGTCAAGAATTCTTTTGCATTTGTCCCTGTTTTTTGAGCCGTCTGTTCCAAGGTCCAGCCTTTTGCGTCTGCAACCAATTTACAGGCTCCTAACATACCAGAGTCTATTGCGGCCGCATCGTGCAAATCAGACTCTATCAGGATTCTATCATCCGGGACAGCTCGTATTCGCTCGACGGTCTTTAGAGACCGTCCATTGATGCCAACCGAAAAGCTGAAGTAAAATCGCCTTCCAACACCCTTTGGTAGACGCAGCAGTGCGCGAACAATGTCCGGAGATCCGGAAAATGAATGATGCATCATCTTTGGTGGAAGAGGGTCAGGGACGCGGTAGCGCCCTGTTCCTCCACTAGACTCGTTGGAGAGCGCCTCACTAGATTTCGGTCGCATGGTCAACGCCAATTCACGCATAATCTCTAGCAGCTTGCCATGGCATTGGACGGTGTGGATGCTCACAGGGCGCCGCAGCTCTGCCGCTAATGCCAACTGGGCCTGAAATATAGCAACCTGGTGCGGCATGGGATACTTGATGTTCGTGTTTCGGTCACGGGCTGCACCATCAATGCCAATTTCTCCCACTAGTGCATGAGGGTGTGACGTTAGCTGCTCACGAAGATTGCGCCAGGCTGCTGTTTCCTCCAGCTTTGGCGGCCCATCTGTGTGGTGTGCAAACCAAGGGTGGATTCCTTGCAGAGCACCTCGAGTGAGTGAGAGCAGTGACGCATAAAAGGTCTACACTTGCAACAAGAACAACGCGGGGGATCTTCTCACTGAAAGTAGATTAGATGCAAGTACCTACCAAACGCGGGAATAACTTTTTCGGAGTAGTCATTTGCGACTTTGCTGACGAGCGCCCAGTCATCCGGTCTCGTTCCCATAACAAACAACTGTCTTGTTGCAAGTGTGGGAAGTAAATGCACATGTTCCGGGGTATCTACGGGGTGACAATGCACATCCACAAAGTGTGGCCATACTGGGGCGCTTTGGTCCTTTGAGATTTCGGATTGGTCTGAAGGGCTGTTGGACTCTGACATGTGTATTAAAATGGATGGATGCTTTACTTCACGCATGGCATTGTATTCTTCCAAGCAGCATTCAAATGTGAATAAATGTAAACACCTCGTCAGGTGATTCTCAAGGATCGGACGGAGCATTGGGTGGACCTTTCAAACAGTCGCTGCATCGTTATTCTTGGCGCGGGCAATTACTTATCTTCGAATCTTTGTTTAAGCTGAGCGCAGTGGACAACCTCTTGTTTACAGCCTGCACATTGGCTTCTTTATATATATTCTTGCTCCAAGCAAGCAGTCCGACTCGCTTTCACCCAATCCTTAGTCACCTGGCGGCTGCGTCTCCAATCTCGCCCTTCTCTCTGCATAAGCTATGAATCTCTTTAGACGAGCACAAGCTACAAAGACAGCTCCTAAGGATGCCATCGTTCGATTGCGCGAAAGTCTGGAAATGCTAGAGAAGCGGGAGAAGTACCTGCAGACTAAGATTGATAACGAACTCAAGATTGCGAAAGCAAATGTATCGAAAAATAAGCGGGGTATGTACTGCCGGACCGAATACGTGTGAATAGCCTACATGGCGATACGTCATTGGAATTGGCGACATTGTACGGATGGAGTGGTTAAAGGCGCGTTAAAAAAAACCGTTCCCACGAGCTAAAGCATATATTTCTTTTGCTCTTTATATAGTGGCTCTCACAGCGTTAAAGCGCAAAAAAGCATATGAGGACCAAATTTCCAAAATAATGGGCTCGCGCATGACACTTGAGCAACAAGTGATGGCCATCGAAAATGCAAACGTTAACCTCGAAACGATGAATGCAATGAAGGCAGGAGCGGACGCAATGAAGCAAATTCACGGGCATCTGGATATAAACAAGGTCGATGCAACCATGGATGATATACGCGAACAAATGGACCTGGCTAATGAGATCAGCGAAGCGATCTCGCAACCAGTCAACTTTGGTGTAGAGTTTGATGAGGAAGAGTTGAATGAGGAACTCGAGCTGCTAGAACAGGAGGATTTGGATGCAAGATTGCTAGATACAGCTGGCGTGGGTGTAGATCTTGGACAGGTGGAGGCCGCACCCGCTGTCCCGAAGATTGCTGTACCTGGTAAGACGTTGAGGAGTCTAACGACTTTCCGTGGCACATTGATGTCATACTTACGCTGTTCTTCCTACAGCGATTGCTCAACCCCCGCGTCCAACCAGAGCGCAACCTGTCCAGAGCGAGGAAGATGCAGAGTTGGAGGAGCTGCGGGCGGCGATGGCTCTATAGATGGGATCATTATTGTGCAGTATAAGATTGATATGTATTGATTAAACATCATGGAATTTGGCAGTGAGTAGTGAGTGTATCATCTTGAGGTGGTAACGATGGTATAATATGCCATGACATTGAACAGCTAAAGGCCGAAAACTGAGTTTTGCCCCATGTTCAGCCACGGTCACGGTCAAGTGTTTTAGTGGATTAAACGCTAGAAATTAGATTCGTATCAAACTATTCAACAAGGCTCTACGCTAGTTGTCCTTCTTCAAATCATTGTCATGGTCCTTCACATCTTTCACCTCTTCATCTTCGCCAGTCACGAAAACATCCGCACTATCCCTCACGCTCTTCTCAACCTCAACTTTCCCAACTGTCCCAAGATGCTTATGGCCATGGTAATCTGCGCCGACGAGTTCACCAATCCGTCTGCATAATTTTCCACCTCCAAGGATGCCAAATGCAACCAACGCTGCCACGTTCCATATATGTACCATGAAATAAACGGACTTCCACACCTGGATTCCATTAGGGATAGTGTATACGGGAAACGGGGCGCAAATGTAGTTGATGGAGATTTGCGTACCAAGCCAGCCAACAAAGTCGTAGAGCGGCTTGTAGGTGGCCAAGCGAGAAGGTTGTGTAACCAGTGGGCGTAAATTACGGCGTAAAAGTTGTCCTGTAATCGTTACCATCGCTCCCGACAAGAAGGTAAAATAGTAGCCAGGTCGGAAACCGTGCCAAAAGGCGGAGGTGAAGTAAGTCCCTACATTCGCCAACGCTATAGCTTTCCCTTTCTCTTTCGGCTTTTGATGTTTTGAGCGCGCGTTGTCAGTAGATTTAGCGGGGGTATGTTGAGGTGCCAATCGAAGATACACGCACTCTCGAAGCCATTTTCCTGTTTGTTGATTCCATGCACCAATGTACTCGCGGGGAGATTGCGCCAGTTCGAGACGGAGTGGATCGGCATTTTGAACGCGTGAAAACAGCATTTTGGTTGGGTTGCGAGGACAGGGTCCAAGATAACCGATCCCAGAGATAATGCAAGCACCCTCCGCAAGCTTCCAAGCACCATAGTATTTGCAGCGAACAACGTTGCCTGCAAGATTAATGTACAACAATCTAACAACGAAAAAGAGGTTCAATCCAGTTCCTCATGGGTAACAGCTGCAAACACATAAAGGGCGGGAGTACCTACCTAAACCAAAAGGGCTGTTTCATAAATTCTGGAGTGATTGCTCCATAATGTGATAACGGCTCGCTAAACTTCATGTAAATCCCTATGGTAAAAAGCCCTACCAACAATGTTTTAAACGCTGGAAGACCACGTGGGGGAATTTTGTCAAACGGGGGCTGTAACCCAGATTTGCAAAAATAGAAAGCATTAGTGTTCCTCTGTACTTTGCTCGCAGCGATCAAGACGGTGGCCGACGGACCTCTCCTCGCGTGAATCTCCGATACTCAATGAAATCATTTGCCGGGCCCACAAACCATCCGCCAAAGAAGAAGGCGTATCCGAGGAACTCGATCAGATTTGGCATCGTTCTTATCGCGGTTCTCTGCTGCTCTCTGGACAGCAACTGAATATCTCGGCAAATGAACAAAAATGACATAAATATCGATCACGAGCGACAACCATACCGTGTCCTTTTTTGTTCCGTCATGAGCCGCCCACGCAAATGTGCTCATTTTGATAACCATCATCATGATAGGGGCTGTGTTGTCAGCTACTCCAGAATCCGGGTTAAATATTTGGTTTTCTAGATGACTGGAAGGCAATGATGTCAACCAGATGCCACTGCGTTAACGATCTAACAGCTGTAACCTAACGCTGCAACACGCGGCCCTCCGTATGAAAGAGCAGGTCATGGGCACAGAGTTTGGGAAGAGGAACTTACTGGACACTCAAGAAGGCCATCATTCCTAAAAAGACTGAGACTGGGGCCCACACGCTCTCCCGGCTTATGGACACGACGGTGTATGCAACAAGACAAGCAGACAGAAGTTGAACATAGAGCCATGGGTCAACGAGAGTAAGGCAGAGCGTGATGGTGAGCAAAATGGAAAATAAATGCTTGGCAGTTGGGAGGGTCGAAGGGATGTAAGAGTATATGTAGGCGAGAGGGTAGGCCGAGAACAGAATCACCGCAATTGTGAAATTCTGTATCGGCATGGACAGACTATCTGCCCAACCCTGTACCACTTCAAAAGCCATCTTGCTGGTACCAGTGAAGGATCAGCGAACTAACTTGTCAAGGCGCTTTCATGCAATGTCGGAAAAACGGGTAAGCTGTCGAGCGTACCCAAGGGCCCACGCAATCCATCCCAAGTGGAATGATGTTTAACCAATTAACCACACGGTCTGATAGATGCCTTCCTGCTAGATGTTCTCTTCTAACTCCGATCATCCGTCAATCCCACTTATAGCAGCCTGCTTCTAGATGCTTCCCACACTTGATATGGCTTCAAAAGTGCAAGATGGCTTAGGACGGTAGCCATGCCGGATCACTGCACTAGTAAAATAACCCGGAACAAGAATGTATTGCGTTGATCCACACCAACCACTGAGCAAACGATTCTACAAAATAGGGGCACTTTTATAATCCGTCAAGTGATGTAATCATGTCCTCTATGACACTAGTAAGTGCTGTTCAATTGGTAATAGTAAAGAAAAGGCAAATTAGTACAAGCGCACAAAACATTGTCTACAGAGGCTGATTAATCTGGGCCAGAGCACAGCTTTCACACACCTGCGAGGGTCACAATTTGTCAAAAAAGAACCGGAGCAGAATATTGGCATGTGTCGCCAGACGTTTAAGGGACGAACACGTACCTCCGCCTTTGGGTCCAGCGCATCATTCCGATCAACACATTTGTGCAGAGCCAAGGCCCCGAGAGACTGATCAAGCAGAGTAATCCCTTTCGATTATCATTCCACCTCGACCGATGCAAAGAGTTCGAAACGTGTTCTCCTCCTTGTAGATGATTTTTCCAATTACGTCGCGTGGTGTGTTCGTTCACCATCGGCTGCCCAGATCGGCTGCTGAGTTTCTTGGAGGCCTGCTGTCAATTTTCGAATTTTCTTTTACATGGAAGTTCCACTTGTTTGGCTGAGTGCCCCCATTGCTGACAATTTATTACGGTTGTAAGGCAACTGCAAAAGCTGCAAAAGCATTTTTCATCTTATTTCCATACAACTTGTCTGCTGAGCGCGGTTTGGCTTAGCTTCGTGTGAGTGTCCCCCACAGGGGACGTGATGTGTGGCTTTCTCCGCTTTTTACCCTTACCTAAGCATTTTGTCCTACTTGTCTTCAATCGTCGGCAAAAAGTGTTCGAAATGGCAATCTCTTCTTGCCTCAGCACTTTATGATGTGGGATGGAAGACGTACAATTTCGTCCTCAGCAGCTGAGGAATTGTCTCCTCTTTTGCTTTAATAAGGTCAAGTTTGTACGGCTACGCAACACCATGTCAACGAATCCAAAGAGAAAATACGCCATTTCAATACGGAAACTTGGCGCAGCTTCCGGCGCCATTACGACCACCAAATGTTTTGGAGAACCAGCACCCACAACAAAGACAACAACGAGCGAAAAGAAAGTCTTTGCAATAAATCTCTTCCGCGCAGCTTCCTTTGGTGACTGCTTCCCTCACATGAGGTAATTAGCCCAAAGCACTGAGTGAAAGGAAAATCCTTCTCCTTCGTAGATGAGATCACCAAAGCCCCGTTGCATACATCAGAAACCTGCTTCTTAAACAAAAAAAATGGGGTCTTTGCATTCCATACCAGGACATTTACAGTCGTCTGCTGAGCTAAAATGCGGCTTGTTTTTTTTTTTTTTGGTTTTTTTCGGCTATATAGACGGTCATTGTGGAACGAATGGGATTGTCATTCAGTATCATCCTTCGCTGTCAGCTTACAATATAATCTCACCTGGTTGAAGCCCTCTTCTACTGATCCAGTTGACCTGCACTTGATCGGAAGGAGATCTGACATTAGTAACTAGTGACGTTGAGCAGTCAACCAAGTAGTAAAGCATGAGGTTAAAGCATCAGATACGTGTCGAGACGAGTGCGGACATATGGCAAGCACTTCGGGATAAATGCGAAGGTGACCTTGTAAATGTCATGGTGGGATGCCTGGTTACGCTTCTCTGGAAGTACACCAAGGTTCCCGTGCACATTTTGGAGGTGTGGAGGAAGGATGGCAGGTGTGTATTACTCTAAATGACCGCCGCGCGCGTAAGGTCGATCGCTGATGAAATGTGGCTTAGATCGAGTCGGGTGAAGTTCCGTATCTCCCCAGACACAACCCTTGGCGAGATCCTTGAAATCAGCGCTACCTCTCTGCCTGCCACAGACTTTGAAAGTCTCGACTATGTCCACGCCAATGATAAACACAGCGAGAGTCCTGAATTTCTTGAGACCGCCTTGGCAGGCGGACTGAAAATACGATTCAATGTATCTGGTTCGCTCTCTACGTCAATTAGTTTCAACCAACTCCTCGGCCACCGCGAACCGCATACGATTCATATCGCAGACCATTGGAATGCATTGTTGCGGTTTATTGCGAAAAACGACGGGTGGCGGGATACGCCAGTTAAACAGATTTCCATTGTACACGGCAAGGAGCTGGATCAAGTGATGTCCAAGTGGACTACCAATGTTCATGGAACAACCTTGAAGTCGTATGCAGATGGACCTAAGCTGCTACACTCACATTTTGACGCCTCCGCGAAACGAAACCCGAGAGGCGTTGCCTTGAGATATATTGATCACGACAGAAGAGAAGAACTGACGTACCGAGACGCCGCGCATATTATCGCACGAGGCGTACGGGCAATTTTGCGCCGTTTCCGCCAGTCGCAACCATTAAGCCAAGAGCATCTTGGCTCTGCGTCAATGGAGCGATACGTAGCTATTTTCTTTCCGCGTGTTGGTATGGAAGCCTACCTTGCCATGCTTTCTATCCTGAAATCTGGCGCCGCTTATGTTCCTATCGATCCTGCCTACCCACCGGACCGAGTGGCTTACATCGTTGAGGATGCCTGTGCATCATTACTGATCACCACTCGGGCCATGGAGCAAATGGTCGAAGAGTCAGGATTGCTTGGCACTGGCAAGTGCACTGTCGTTTTCTGGGATGAATTGCTCCAGGAGGTTCCAGTGGAAGGTACCACTGAAGAGGTGGCGATATCTCCATCAGCTCCGTGCTATTCTATATATACATCTGGGTCTACTGGGAAGCCAAAAGGTGCAGCGTTCTCCTATTCGAGAATCCCATGCATTTCCTTACTAACAGACCTCGTAGGTGTAATTGTTGAGCATTGCAACGCTTCCTTCCTCGTACACTCAGAGTCCGTTCTTTTTCCTCTGAATGCCCAAGATGTAGTCCTCCAGCCGTTTTCCATTGCTTTTGATGCCTCAATCGAATGCATCTGGCTGGCCTTCCACAATGCCGCGACCCTGCATATCCCGTCGGAAGTCGATATGAAATCTGGACCCATGCTCGCTGACTACATTACAGAGCACAATATTTCGGTTCTTTCGACTGTGCCGACTTTATTGTCCATGATAGACGAGGACATGCCTACCTTAAAATTATTGATCTTGGGTGGTGAAGCATGTCCACCGGCGCTGGTAGAGATGTGGGCTTCAAGGACTAGACTGGTAAACACTTATGGACCTACGGAAGCAACCGTCATCTGTACATCATGTGATATGCAGCCTGGGGTGCCAGTAACGATAGGAAAGCCGATACCGAATTACGAGATCTATATTTTGGACGATGAGCTGCTACCTGTACCTATTGGAATTGCTGGAGAGATCCATGTCGGTGGAGACGGGTGGGTACCGTTTTATATTTACAGCTGTGCAATACTGTGCAATACTAAATACCGATCAATCCTGGCATCGTCCATCAGGGTTACTCGCGGGTACCGAAATCGTGATGACCTAAATACTGAAAAGTTTATTCCCAGCCCGTATGGTCCTGGAAAACTTTATAAAACTGGTGATCTGGGCCGTTGGACGCCAGAGGGCGATATTGCTTACTTGGGCCGTGCCGATGCCCAGGTGAAACTGAGAGGTGAGCATATCTTGCATCTGAAATTGGTCATTGCATTCTGAGTAACGACCTTCAATTGTAATAGGCCATAGAATTGAGCTCGGAGAAATTGAATCAGCCCTTGTCCGCTTTGGTCACCCAACCGTCCTTGCGTCCTGCGCTACCGTCCAGCAGATTGAAGGTGTTGATCACCTTATCGCCTATATTATCCTAGCTGATCTCGATGACGAGGATAACGCGAGCCGATGTGACTCGAACTCAGAGTCTGACACAGTGTATGCTGAGGATGTTGACATCCAGGGTATTCTCGGGCGAATGAGGGCTACCTTACCTGGATACATGGTGCCAACCTATGTGGAGGTAATGAACGGTGATTTTCCAACGCTTCCCAGCGGCAAGGTTGACCGGAAGAAACTTCCGGTGCCACCACGTAAGTGCTTGCAGTTTATTGATATGACGGTGTATCCTGCGAACTGAGTTCGTCTACTGGCAACCTTATAATGTAGCGCATGTAATAAAAGCCCGTTCTTCCATGTCATCGATTCGCTCCCAGAGGAAGACACTAACTAATCAAGGATCGTTTGACTCCATGAATACTCTCTCTGCGGAGTCCCTGTTGGTAGATATGTTTACCGAGGAAGGAACCACCCCGACCGAGCGTATGTTGCGCGATGTGTGGTCTAATATCCTGATGATAGAGATCACCACCCCCGAGGTGGACTTTTTTGCGCTGGGTGGCCACAGCGTCCTTGCTGCCCGACTAGTTTCCGAGTTGCGCAAGTCGCCGACAGTGAAAGGTGTTACTGTGCGTGATGTTTATACTGAACGCACGATTAGGGGTCTTGCTGCAAGAATCGATACATTAAATGGCAAAACTGAAATTGCGGTAAAAATGAAGAACTCCAATGGCCGCCAGTCGTCTCAGGATGGGTCTGAAGATGCCAGTGGTACAGATGGGACGGTGGTGGACATGCTTGGTTCACCCAGTGACAAAAAGGAGCTGCCCCATGTGTTCCTACCCCACATCGTTTCGTTGATCCTATTCTACGTAATGGTGAGTCCAAGTCTTGTAGTTTTTCTTCGAGCCCAGCGGTAACAACTTTGTGCTTCAACAGGGGCATATTACCAGCTTCATGTCGTTGATCGGGTATTACCTTTTTCTCGAGTTCATGAATCCGACGTATTTCTCGTCCCGCTATTATGTGTTCCTAGTGGGAATCGCTCTATTTCCTGTCATTCAATTTTTGATGTTCGCTGCTGCCATTGGGTTAAAATGGCTCGTTATTGGAAAGTTCCGACCGGGAAAGTACAGATTGTACTCGTTTTACTATTGGAGGTGTGCTACTAGTTATTTCGTGGCTTGCAGAAAACTGTGATATTAACGGATCACTTACCCTCACTTTTTCGGCTCAGATGGTGGATCGTTAGTCGTGTTACCGCAATGGTTCCGGCTGCTTTCATGCGTGGTTCACCCCTGCTTCGTATCTATTTGCGTTTGCTTGGTGCTAAAATCGGGCGCAACGTTCACCTGCAGTCAGTTTTCGTATCTTCGTTCGATCTGATCACCATCGGCGATAACACTTCAATCGGGTCTGATGCTCACCTATACGGATTTCATGTCATGAACGGTTATCTGCACATTGGACGGGTGACAATTGGTGAAGGATGCTACGTTGGTGCCCGCTCACATTTGGAACCAAACACGTCGATGGGCGATCGGGCGCAGCTTGGCGAATTATCATGTGTTGGAATGGGACGGCATATTCCATCGGGCGAGAGTTGGACTGGGTCTCCTGCTGAGCCTGTGGACCCAGCTTCCATCCTTTGTGCAGATATGGTCATCCCCCTCCGAAAAAGACGCAGCTGCTTTGGTCGCATGTTTGAGGCCATCGGTGACTTCCTGCACGCCCTCTTTTTCGTTTTCGCATACTTCATCATGGCTATCATGATGTTTGGGGCATCTGTACCGAATTTAATTCTTTTGCTATTCACCGGAAATGTGATAAGCTCATGGACTATGCGGATGGCAATCTATATACCAGTCATGGGGTGAGTGACAGTAACTACGTTTCCCGCTGTCCAGCTGTAGTAACGATGTTGAATATCCTCTTTAGTCCAATCTATTGCGTTTGCATTGCCTTTCAGCTGGTGATTCTTAAGTGGCTTATCGGTGGCCGTATTCAACCTGGAGTCTATAGCACACGATCCTTCGCTTACTTCCGTATATGGTTCGTTGACAAAATGGTCCAGACCTCGCTCAGCGCACTGGGTGGAATGTACGCGACTCTGTATCTTCCACCGTGGCTCTCAGCAATGGGTATGAAAGTGGGGAAGACTGTAGAAGTGTCTACTGCGGCGAACTGGACTCCGGATCTCTGTACGTTGGGTGACAGGTCGTTCCTCGCCGACAACGTCTGCCTCGGCGCGCCTGTGTTTCATGGTGGAATGGTGAAAGTTAGCCACACGGAGATTAGGGAGAGGTCTTTTGTTGGAAACAGCGGGCTCATGCCATCCGGTAGCACCATTGGCAAGAACTGCTTGATCGGCGTCAATTCAGTGCCTCCTGCCAGTCTCGCAGAATGCCAAAGCTCTCAAACGGTCTCCGAAAAGAACAAAGAACATGGTTTCGTTGTGAATGTGGAAGAAGTTATACCACCTGGTTCCCGTTACGATGTTCCCGACGGTACATCTTGGCTTGGCTCACCAGCAATGAACCTCCCCGCTCGCGCTTGTGCAGTGAAAAAATTCAAAGAATCGAAGACCTTCCAGCCGTCTCGCAAGCGTTATTTGCAACGGTATTTGATCGAGTTCTTCAGGGTGACTGGTCCTGCCATGATTGAAGGAGGAACTTTGGTTGGCGCGTTCATACTGGCCATGTGGCTGGACCTGAGGTGGTGGCATCTTTGGCTCTACTGGCCGCTCTTGCATATCGGTCGTGGAATTTGCTTTTGTGCCTGTGTATGGCTCGCCAAGTGGATATTGATCGGCCGCTATATTGCTCAGGAACAGCCCTTGTGGTCCGTTTATGTTTGGAAGGCCGAGGTAAGAAAGTCGCAAGGTGCCTGGCTTATGCTGTTTACCGTTATCTAATCTCTTGTTTACTTATCCAGCTTGTCAGCGGTTGGGAAGAATTCGGCTGCAATCCAGCTTTCGTCTCTGGTCTTCAGGGAACTCCGTGGATAAATCATTGGTTTCGCTCTCTAGGTGCCAAAATTGGTCGGCGCTGCTACATTAACACGGTAAGTGCACACCAGCAGTTACTCGGTCAGCTGCGCTTTTCTCATTATCATCGATTACTTTTGCTCCTCCAGGTGTGGTTCTGCGAACCTGATTTGATTAGTATCGGCGATAACGTGTGCCTAAACACGGATGTTGTCCTGCAAACGCATCTGTTTGAGGACCGAATTATGAAGATGTCACATTTGCGTATCGAGGACCATGTGTCAATTGGCGGCGCTTCAGTGATTCTCTACGACTCAGTCATTGAAGAAGGGTGTCATGTTGATTCGCTTTCGTTGGCCATGAAAGGCGAAGTACTCAGTTCTTGGACGCATTGGCGAGGGACGCCAGCCCAACCTGTTTTCCAGGGATGATGCGGATTTCTGCATAATGCGACGCTGTATTTGCTTTGTATTACTCTAATAGACACGCTTCACAAGATCAATTACACTAAGTGGCTTATGTGAGAACTAAGTATTTAGAGTTCGAGATGCGAGTTGCAAAGCACGAGAATAACAACTTGAGATGCATCTATTCATACATCGAACATTTAATTCACAAAATACTCAGAAATCGTAGATGCCATAGTGTACCGGATTCAAAAGTAGTCCTTCGCGGTTTTCGGCATGACTGCAGAGAGGAGGGAAGTTACCTAACAAGTATCCGGGTTCATTCTTGCACAGGTGCAAGGTAGACCTGTTCTTTGGTCTTCGCACGCAGTTGCGGACTTTGATTTTTGCGACGCGTCTCGCGTGCCATATGACCATATATAGTTATAGTGATCATGTATCCATGTATAGCTAAAGTATGGCGCAGCGCGTAGCAGTTAGCTTAGGAAAACCCCGCCGCGCCGACAACCTGTCAAAGTCTGTCGGTTCCACGGCGGCCCCGTAGTTAGATGTTTATTCTTTGCCTCATTGCATGGCACTGTCACAAGACGGATTTCCCTCCCATTTGTTTGTTGGGGTACGGTTGTCTGTATCACTTGAGAATTATGGTACGGGGTCTTTTTTGTGCGGTTAACACCAATACTGTGTCACTATGCACATATATGTTCAAGTGGGACTTCTATTGGCCAATTCTCACTTACAACAGCTGCTCTGTGATCTCTATGGCTAGAATTGATGTTTGATGGTTGAAAATGGGTCTTTGTGATCAAAGGACTTTTTTTTATGGTTGAAAGCATACTTTCTATGGTTGCATTGTTCTAAAATGCACTTTTGATGGTCTGAAAATGAGTTGGTACAATCAGTTTGTGTTAAAAACATCATTTCAATGGTTTGTGAGTGTAAATATCTTGTTTTCTAATTATCGCTCAGTGTTTCAGTATCTCCAGCATGGAATGGTTCTTCGTGACTGACTAGAGAAATTAAAACACAAGCAACACCAGTAAAGGTATGTAGAAAAACTAAAATATATATATATTTGCTACAAGAAAAGGGGAATCCAGTGCAAACATGCCTCTTATATACTGCTAAAACTATGTACTCTAGAAGAAAAATTGTAAAGTAGGGAGATGAACCATAGGTTTGAAATATAATGGATTAAGATTGCTCTATTAATTTCCCATCACTGGAATGCTTTATATACCATGCATTTACATAAGCTTTAAATACAATATCCATGTGTCGCACATATGGCACTAGCACTTTCTTGTAACGTCAATCGACCAGATTGCTCTAGTTGATGTGTTTCTTGTGAATCATTGAGCCCTGTGAGAGGGCTGTATAAAGACTTTGTTGTTAATACAAGATAAAGGGAACTATTGATAGTTCCTCACATTGCTAACTAGGCTAGTTGTTCTTCTAGTTTTTCCTTGCTTGCTGCCTCCCCTTCTGAGGGGCTTTGGGGCAGCACTTTTTTATGCTTGCTCCCTCCTTCGGCGGGGCGTCGGCATGAGATTTCCTGCCCCCGCCGGTGCGGTCCCTCTTGCGCCAATCGGAAGTGATTGGCACTAGCAATTAAAGGGACAAATAATCTTCTAACTACGGGGCCGCTGCGGAACCGAACAACTTTGACAGGTCGTCGGCGTGGCGGGGCTTACATAATCTAACTACTGTTATGCACTGCGCCATACTTTGGCCATACATGGCTACATGATCACTATAGCTATATATGGTGTATGAGAGACGCGTCATGAAAATCTAAGTTCGCACTTGCGTGCAAATACCAAAGGACAGGTCTACCTTACACCCCCCGCAGATTATACCTGCAGCAGTAGCGAAGGCTTTAATCTCTTCTTGACCTTTCTTTTGGTCTGGAAACAAGAGTTCTATCTACTTCTATGTAGTGAGGTCCTTGGGTTTTCCTCATCCCCTGGGTGTCTCCTCGGTTTGCCCAGACCGGTTGAGCTCTGTGGCTCGGCCAGTGGGGCTGTCCCCGGGACTACTGGGCTTTCCCAGCATGACCCATGTGATTGCATCCAATGCAACACTTTACATACGTATGATTTTCATCATGATGAGGTAATTGTTTGGGGGCTGACCCCTGGAGCAGCTTCACCCGGTGCCCACGGGGACCGTTTGCTGAGTCGTCGCTCCATTTCTGGCCCTTTTTATACTTTATACAATTTGGGGGCTGACCCCTGGAGCAGCTTCACCCAGTGCCCACGGGGACCATTTGCTGAGTCATCACTCATTCTGGTCATGTATATACTTTATACAAAAGTGCGCTTATCGCTATCTTAGTGCTAGACAAGCCTTTTTACTTTTGTTGCGTCATCTATGTACTAAAGCCCTACTGAATATACACGCGTACTTGGAAGCTTCTTTTACGTACAAAGAACCAGTTGCTTTGTCCTTTTAAATGGGAGCGTATTTCGCTTTCCCCTCTATCATTCTTACTACCCACTGTCGATAATGTCTTTTCCCCATATGGACATCACAATACGCCTTGGTCCACACTTGAGACCGACTGCACATGTAAGCCCTGCATGATTTACGCAGGCACCTCGCTTATCACATCGTGGGAATGGTTATGGAGGTGGTGACCCAGTGGGTCATTGCGTCCATGGTCCCATGCATAGCATTTTGTGTGCTCGGGTAGGTCATTGTTCATTGTCGGTTTCTTTTGTCTTTCATGTTGTTAATCGGAGTGGACTGGATTTAGATTTTCGACCAGTCAGGGGCTTGAGAGTATTTTCAAGCCCAGTCATTCTCAACAAACCCCCGAAGAACATATCGCTTTTGTTCCGTTTTGGGCTGTTGGGACCTTGCACTTGGGGTTTGTGGTCGATGTGGGTCTGTTGGGTATGCTTGTATACTTGTAATAGACATCATCCTCGTAAATATATGTTTCATGTCCTTAATGCTCCATTCTCCAAATTTTGTAAGCGTCTGTCTGTCGAATGTGGTGGAGAGGTTCCCAAGTGTTCTCACTATGCGGGTATCCTTTCCATTTGATGAGGAATTGTGGTTTACCAAGTCATCAGCGTTGGTCAATAATCTCCTCGACTTCATATTCGGGAATCCCTGCGATATGAACAGGAGGTGGCAGTACTACTATGTTCCTATAGTGGTGAGACGCTGGGTCTTCGTATTTCTTTAGGACACTAACATGGAAGATAGGATATAAGGCAGATAAGTGAGTATCCTGTAACTTGAGCTCATAGGTGTCCGGATAAGGTCCCATTGCTTTGATTGTGTAGGGGCCGATCCAGCTAGTGGCTAGCTTTGCTGGTTTCTGCAGACTAATGTCTACCTCAATCCCTTTGCAATTGAGTAGGACCTGGTCTCCTATGGCGAAGGTAATAGCTGTGTGTCCTTTGTCATAGTGTTCAGCATATTTATCCTGTAGTTCCTTCATGCGGTGTTGAACGATTACGGCTATTTTGTCCATCGCTTTTTTGATGTCCTTAATCTCATTTCGGTCGATAGGTTTCATCATTTGAAGTTCTGTGGAAGTAATGACTCCATCCGCTTGTGAGGGCATTCGCCCGATATCTGCCTCAAATGGTGTCAGTCCATGTTGGTTCGGGGTGTTGTTCAATGTGAACTTGAGGAGAGGAAGATACTGTGGCCAATTATCTGCCACATGGTTGAGGTACGGCCGATATATGGACTTTACTGTCCGTATCATCCGTTCGCATTTGCCGTCAGTTTGTTGGTGTCGGGCACTAGCAAATTGGTGTTTCGTACCAAGGACTCTACAGAAGGCCTCAAAGAAATCGGAAAGGGCTTTCGGGTTGTGGTCAGTAATAAAGATCCTGGATGCTCCTACATTCTTGTAGACTTGGGACAAATATGTCTGCGCAAGATCGTGAGCATTGGAAGCTTGGAGTGTTGGTACGAGGATGGTCCGGTTAGTCAAGTAATTGACGAAACAAAGAATGGCATCGGGTCAGAATCCATGGGTGCTATTGCCTGGAGGCATATAAGTCATATCAAACCCGATCATATGCCATCGACTATTAGGGATTGGTAATGGTCATAAAAACCCATGCTTCCGTAAAGGGTTCTTGTATTGTTGGCATTCAGGACAAGTCCGAATATATGCGTAGATGTCACGTTCGAGGTGAGGCCAGTAGAATCTTCGTAGAATTTTAGCTAATGTGCGTCATTGACCTTCATGCGAGCCATCTATTAGGCTGTCATGATATTGCTGTAAGATTCTAGTATGCTGCATTTCTGGTATGTATAGCCGGTCCTTCTCATAAGTTAGGAGGTCATTTTGTATTGCGTAGTGTCGTAGCCTTGATCCTAAGGCATGGGCTGGTGTTGTCTTCAACGTTTCGATTATTGTAAGGGCATAATTGTCTTGGCTCAGTGCCTGAGTCCATTCTTCGCGATTAAATGGCATTAGTGTCGTCTTGGTGTTGGCGACTAATATGGCTTGCAACTGGATTCGTTGTTGACACTCTGCACATCGGGGTGCATAGTGTGGGTTCTGCGAAAGAATGTCCGCAACATGGTTAACTTGTCCGGGCATGTATTCGATCGTCATGTCGAATTGTTGTAATGTTTCAACCCATCCTGCTTGTCGTCAGGAAAGGTGCGGCTGCATTTGAAGGTAGATCAGACTTTTATGGTCAGTGAAGGCATGGAAGAAGATACCAATCAGATATGGGCGATTATGTTTCAAAAACTTGACTAGGGCTAAAAGTTCCTGTTCGTGAACTGGATACCACGTCTCGGTGGGTTTCATCTTACAGGAGTAAAATGAGACTGGTCATAGACGGGGTAGCGCTTTAAGTTCCCAGATGGTTTTCGGCAGCGGAGATGGTATCTCATCTTCCAGGTCTGTGGTTTGGGCTAGCCATCCGCTGATCGCGAATCCTGATGAATCAGTGAAGATGAAAGTGTCTTTGGTCAGGTCGAAGGTCACCAGGATGGGTGCAGTGGTAATAGCATTTTTGATCTTTTCGAATGCTGTTTTTTCTTCTTCTTTCCATTGCCATGTTTTCTTTCCAGATTGTAGTTGCAAGAGGGGCATCACGATTTCTGCATA